GAGGGTAGTCCCCCCTCTTCCCGCGCCCCCCGCCGCCGAAAATTCTTTCCTTTTCAACTCCCCCCAATCCCCCGTTCCCTTACCTCCCGGCACCGACTCCCCACGACTACGTGGATTTACACAACATGTCGCCCAAAGACGACCCCAAGGCTGGAGAAACGACGGTCTCCGTCGATATTGATGATTTTACCAGAACCCGCGACCATGTAAGTCATTCTTTTCATTGGTCATTCCAGTGCGTTGGGTGGCGGTGATGGTGGTGGTGGTGTCGCGGTGATGTTGCGCCTGCACTGGCGCCCCGTCGCGGTCGCATCGGCGCGTTCGTAAACAAACCTGCGATGCCACCCATAACCAAGCCCTTTTTTGCCTTCTTTTTCTTTGCGATTTTAGTATGGACGATACTATCGTTCATTCTCATTCGCTCTTCCCTTGACATTTATTATTTTCTACCCCATCCTGTACCTCTGTTCATCGTACAACCCACCCCATTCCCGCCATGCCCAGACGCGTCCCCGGCGCAATTCCGGGAGCCTCGTCCAGGCGCGCCACCCGGCATCCTTACGCCCAATTCCACCCACAACAACCATACTAACTCCCTCAGGTCCTCGCCACGTTGATGCAACTGCAGGCGGCAGTGGCCGAAGTGTCCAAAGCCTACATCAACCATTCCAACACCGTCCTCCGCGGCTCGTCCGACCTCGAGGACGGACCCCTGGCCAACATTGCCAACCTCCTGCAAGAGAATGGTCTCTTCGGGTTCCCTGGCTTCGGCGGCGCGCGCGCGACCAGCCCCGGCGCAAAGTCCGAGGTCGGCGAAGTCGGCGGCAAGAAGAAGCGCAAGCGCGCCCCCCACGACCCCAATGCGCCCAAGCGCGCCCTGACCCCGTTCTTCCTGTACATGCAGCACAACCGCGCCAAGATCTCCGCCGAGCTGGGGTCCGGCGCCCGGCCCAAGGAGGTCTCCGACGAGGGCACCCGCCGCTGGCAGACGATGCCTCAGGCTGAGCGAGATGTGCGTCCCTCCTTTCCGTTGTTCATGTGTACTACGTACTGACGAAGAAACAGGTCTGGAAGCAGATGTATGCAGAGAACCTAGCTCTCTACAAGGAGCGCATGCGCCTCTACAAGGCCGGTCTGCCCATCACGGATGATGCGCGCGCCGCCAACCAGCTCCAGCAGGAGGCCGAGGCGACCAACGCCGAGGAGTCCGACGAGACTGGTGATGATGACCTCGCGGCCGAGCCCCCGCGCGAGCCCACCCCCCCGCGCAGCGGCAAGCGTCGTCGCAGCGAGGTGAAGTCTACCCCCAAGCAGGCCGAGACGCCCAAGATCCCGGCGCCGGAGGCCAAGACCCCCGCGGAGAAGAAGGCGTCGCCCGAGAAGAAGGCCTCGCCGGAGAAGCGGAAGCGTGGACCCAAGGCGGCGGCGGCTGCGCAGAAGGACGAGGCATCGACTCCGGCGGCGGCGGGTCGCAAGTCTCTGGGCGGGGGTGAGGCACCGAAAGAGACGACCAAGCGGGCGAAGAAGAAGCGTAAGAGTGAGGTGGATGGACAGGAGTAAGGTAATTGGATTGCGGTTGGACTGGTTTTGCGCTATGTTTCGCGCTATGTGTTTAGCGGTGATTTCGGGTGTATCTTTGAATGAAAAGTGCTTTGCCAGTACGTACTATATAGTATGGATAGTCCTACCTACTTTAAGTACTCCATACTCTGAGTACTCCGTAGGTTTATACTATGGAGTTATGAAGAGTGGAGTCATTAGTCGTAGGCATTACGTGGATTCCGTGAGTCGGCATTCGGACTGTCGTGCATCTGCAGGTGGAGATACTACTCCGGAGTACGTCCATACATGCATGGGTATAGGATGGCTGATATAGACCAGGAACACGACTTGGCTACAAGATACAGACAGTATAGGTAGACACTATACGAATCTACCAGTAGAACTAAGGTAAGCTTCTTATTCAACAGCACCCGCGGCCAACCAGAGGCCGAACGGCCCTTATCAGCTTATCTCGGCCGTCTGGCCAACGAACCCGCCCTCTTTTCTGTTCTCTCTTTTAATCCCCGTTGCCGGCCCCCTCGCCGTCGTCTGCGGAGTTCGCCGGCTTCTTCTTCTTCTTCTTCTTCCTTCTCTTTCTCTTTCTCTCTTTCGCTTCCGTCGTCTTCTCCGGTTTTTCTTTTCGTCATCCCCCCTCCTTCTTGAACCCCAGCCCTGCCGTGTCCGGGGTGATATCTGGTTCCTCGCCACCTTTCTTCCCCAGGACCGTACTCTCTACCTTACCAGGGTAATTTGCTGTGTTTCTGTGTGCAATTCCTGGCGCGTGATTGGCTCTGGCCTTAGATCGTCCGCGGGCGTGTTGGTGATTCGCTGGCCAAGAAATCTCCCCCGGTTGCGCTCTGAGGATGCATCTCATCCCGAAAGAGGTATCCCTCTCCTCTCCCTCCACACAACCACAAACAATCAAAATACAATGCTCATATCTAATATCTTCTAGCTTGACAAGCTCGCCATCTCGCAGCTGGGCTTCCTCGCCCAACGGCGCCTGGCCCGTGGTGTGCGACTCAACCATGCGGAGGCCGTCGTACGTAACCCACTTCCATATCTATCGTGCGACATCGGATCAACAACCCACTGACCCATCCCACCCTCTCATAGGCCTTGATCTCCTCCAACCTGCAGGAGGTACATGAAACTCCCCAGACTGCCTCTCCGTGTTTCACCACACTAACGCTACCCCCAGCTCATCCGCGATGGCCACTACTCCGTCGCCGATCTCATGTCCATCGGGAAGACCATGCTGGGTCGTCGTCATGTCCTCCCCTCCGTCCCCTTCACCCTCATCGAACTCCAGGTCGAGGGAACCTTCCCCACCGGCACCTATCTCGTCACCGTCCACCATCCGATCAGTAGCGACGATGGCGACCTCGAAAAGGCCCTCTACGGCAGTTTCCTCCCCGTGCCTCCGTCCGACGCCTTCCCGGATCCCAAACCCGAGGACTACGAGCTCGAGAAGATGCCCGGCGCCGTCATCCCGGTCAAGAACGAGCGCATCACCCTGAACGCCGGCCGCAAGCGCATCAAGCTCAAGGTTATGAGCAAGGGCGATCGCCCTATCCAGGTCGGCTCCCACTACCACTTCATCGAAACCAACCCCCAGCTCCACTTCGACCGTCTGCGCGCCTACGGTTACCGACTGGACATCCCCGCCGGCACCTCCGTGCGGTTCGAACCGGGCGACACCAAGACCGTGACTCTCGTGGAAATCGCCGGCAATCGCGTCATCAAGGGAGGCAATTTTATCGCTTCGGGCAAGGTGGATCTTGCGCGCGCCGAAGAGATCATGCAGCGTCTCCAGGTGGAAGGCTTCGCGCATACTCCGGACCCGACGGCGGATGCCGCCCTCGTGGAACCCTTCACCATGGACCGCGAGATCTACGCCCGCATGTTCGGCCCGACCACCGGGGACCTGGTCCGCCTCGGCTTGACCAACCTGTGGGTGCGCGTCGAGAAAGACTACACTATGTACGGCGACGAGTGCTCCTTTGGCGGCGGGAAGAGTCTCCGTGATGGCATGGCGCAAGCGTCCGGACGGTCGTCCAAGGACTGCCTGGATACCGTGGTCACGAACGCGTTGATCATCGACTGGACGGGAATCTACAAGGCGGATATCGGCATCCGCAACGGTGTCATCGTGGGCATCGGAAAGGCTGGAAACCCTGATATTATGGACGGCGTGCACCCTGACATGGTGGTCGGATCCTCTACCGACGTCATCGCCGGCGAGAACAAAATCGTCACCGCGGGCGGCTTCGACACTCACATCCACTTCATCTGTCCCCAGCAGGTCGACGAGGCGCTCGCTTCTGGTATCACGTCAATGCTGGGCGGTGGCACCGGCCCCTCGACCGGCACGAACGCGACTACCTGCACGCCAGGCCCCACGCACATGCGCCAGATGATCCAGGCCACTGACCACCTCCCGGTCAATATCGGCATCACCGGCAAGGGTAACGACTGCGAAGGGCTCAGTATTGAGGAGCAGATCCATGCCGGCGCCGCAGGTCTCAAGCTGCACGAGGACTGGGGCTCCACCCCGGCGGCCATCGACTCGTGCTTGCAGATGTGCGACAAGTACGACGTGCAGTGCATGATCCATACGGACACGCTCAACGAGTCCGGCTTCGTCGAACAGACCATCCAGGCCTTCAAGAACCGCACCATCCACACCTACCACACCGAGGGTGCCGGCGGCGGCCACGCCCCGGACATCATCCGCGTGGTCGAGCACGCCAACGTGCTCCCCAGCAGTACCAACCCCACCCGGCCCTTCACCATGAACACGCTCGACGAGCACCTGGACATGCTGATGGTGTGCCACCACCTGTCGAAGAATATCGCCGAGGACGTGGCCTTCGCCGAGAGCCGCATCCGCGCCGAGACCATCGCCGCCGAGGACGTGCTACACGATCTGGGTGCCATCAGTATGATGTCGTCCGACTCGCAGGCCATGGGCCGCTGCGGCGAGGTCATCCTGCGCACCTGGAACACCGCCCACAAGAACAAGGAGCAGCGCGGCCCGCTGCCCGAGGACGAGGGCACCGGCGCCGACAACTTCCGCGTCAAGCGCTACATCAGCAAGTACACCATCAACCCAGCCATCGCCCAGGGCATGGCCCATCTCATTGGTAGCATTGAGGTCGGCAAGGTCGCCGACCTGGTTATCTGGCATCCCAGCTCATTCGGCACCAAGCCGACTCAGGTGTTGAAGAGTGGGACGATCGTGGCGGCGCAGATGGTATTTCACACTACCTTCCTTGCTCTTTATCTGAATACATGGCTAACTTTGTTGACAGGGTGATCCCAACGGATCCATTCCCACCATCGAGCCGGTCATTATGCGACCGCAGTTTGGCGTACGTTCCCAAGCTTCCTTGATTATCAACTTAACGAAGATGACTAACAAAAATAGGGCCACGTCCCCGGCACCTCGATCATGTGGGTGTCGCAAGCCTCCATCGACCTCGGCATCGTGCAGACCTACGGACTGAAGAAGCGTATCGAAGCAGTCAAGGGCTGCCGTTCCGTCACCAAAGCCGACATGAAACACAACGACACGATGCCCAAGATGAAGGTCGATCCGGAGAGCTACCGTGTCGAGGCGGACGGGGTTCTCTGCGATGCTGCGCCGGCGGGAGCGCTCCCGCTCACGCAGGATTTCTTCGTATACTAGTGTGGTGCGGTTCTTTTCTTTATGATACCTTTTGCTGTTCTTTCTTTTGTACAGATAGGATGATTTGCATAAGTGGTTATGGTTCATGAATAATGATCTATCTTTCATTGCATCGTACATTCGTTCAGGGGTATCTTGTCTCGTGATGAAGTAGTCAAGCATACAACGATGGGTGACGGTAGCTTACAGCTCAATCTCTTCTTCGGCGTGATTGTTCCCTGCGGAAACAAGCGACATCGCCGCCCAGGCTTCGTAGCTGTCTGCTCGCGCAGCGAGATACGCGGCTCTCCGCGTACGCGCCGAGGTACTCCGCTGCAGTGAGGGTGTATCGCCGACGGGCGTATTGGTGTCGGAAAACCCGTCATGAGGATCCTCATTTGGTTGCTTCTCTTGAGAAGCAAAAGCAGATGAGGAGATCGAGAGCGTCTGGCTGGGACTCTCCTCTGATTCGTCTTCCGAACGTGTGTCCGCGGGTTGTCCATCGTGTGTAGGGGTGTCTTGATTCTCCGCAAAGAGGGAGCTACTCCCGTCTGTCCAGGGTAGAGGCGCAAGCAGGACGTTGTCCGCGCGCGATGCCGCCAGCACATCCCATGCGTGACGGAGGCCTCTTCGCTTCGTATGCTCTCTTTCCGGAGCGGTAGACACAGCTATAGGGAGGTTGATATCCATGGGGTCGTCGATCGTTTCTAGCGACGATGGATTGGGGATACCATCTGATGGGGACGGGATTGCCACTGAAGGCACGCGACGACTGTCATCCCCTCGGCTCGACTGAGTGGATTGGAAAGAATCAGTCTCTTGACGGGCACGCTTTCGCGCGCGGAGCTCGCCGTCCGTGGCGAGGAGCATGCGCATGTATTCGTCGTGGACGAACGTGTTGCCTGAACAGAGGTGGCCGAAGAGGTACTGCATGGAGACGTCTTCGTCCCAGGTCAGCGGGTCGACGGTGCAGGGGATGATGTCTTTGGGCTTGAAAATGGCGATGAGGGCGCATAATTCAGAATAGGAAGAGTGGCGTGAGTATGGGAAGTGCTGAAGTAGTTAGTTTGCGTTTCTTGGGAAGGGTATGGCGGACACACAATGGTTTTGGGGAGGGTGGCTGTATCTGCGGGGTCTGGACGTCGGGTGAGCATGTCTACAAGGTGTTCGAGCGGGACATCCTGGTCGTCTTTAACTCCGTAGGCATCTAGCGGGAGGGCCTTGCGTTTGGAGTGGAAGGCCGCGTTGAGTCGCTGTCGCATTTGTGAGAGGACTTGTCCGTCGGTTACTCGCTCAAGACATAGTTTCTCGAGCTGCTCGACAGCAGATTGATCCGGGAGCTCGAGCTCATGGACCTGGTAGAGGTCGCCGCCACCGCCGCCTGCGCCCACCTCAGGGATGCGAGTGCCGTCTGCAGTGCGGTTGACGATTGGAGTGACGTAGACGGTGTTTGGGGATGGAATAGAGGCACAGTGCACGCCTGGTTCGCAGCTGTGAATACGGGAGTGCTCGTCCTCGCTCAAACAGCCTGGGATGAACCGGTTGCCGAGTTCGAAGCCGCAGAGGGCGGCGCCTTCGCCGTCCCTGGAGGTGAGGGATCGATAGAGACCCATTTGGTAGCGGTCGACGTGAATCTGGTGGGATTAGTCAATTGCTACGATGAGGTAGGAGAAGGGAGAAGGACGTACTTTGGAATTGAGAAATGCGGATAGTGCCATCCATACTTCTTCGTAGCCAAAGGTCCAGGCGCGAAAGTAGAAGACCGTGTCGTCTGGGTAAGAGGCGACCTTCTGCAAGAGCTCGGCGAGACCCTCGGCCTTCGAAGGAAAAGTGCGGTAGATATGGGATGCGCGGGCGAAAGTGGAGTCGAGATAAATCTTGTCTAGACGCTTGCTCCCGAGAGTGTAGGGGAGGAGAATGGGGTGCCGGACCAGGCTATTGACCCACCAAGGTTCAGCTGGGGATGTTAGTTTGTCAATTCGGGAAGAGGAAGAGCTAGGTAAACATACCCCGGATATCACCGGTGTAGAGGATAGCTTTCCCATCGCCTTCGATCAGGAACATCACGGCCCCGGTGCAGTGGTTGGCATCGAGAAGCGTGACGCGAATGGACAAGCGGGGAGTGAGTTCGATCACCGTTGGGGTGTTCAACGGGATGGGTCTCAGAAGCTTGGACAGATGCTTGTAGTGCAACTGGCGGGATTCGAGGATCCCCTTGGAGAAGTTCATGCGGTGGGGGTACTTCTCAATGCGCAGGAGGAGATCCCGCGTGGCGGCCGAACAGTAGATGAAGGGAGCCCGGAAGGACTCGAGGCCCTGGAGATGATCGCTGTGAACATGACTGAGGAAGCACGCGAGCGGTGCGGGACGGTCAGGATTCTTGCGAAAGTAGTCAACTGCGAATGTTAGTAAAGCGAGAAGTAGAGGTGGGGGTGGGGCATAGGCGGACTTTGGATGAAGGGGAATTCGTGGATGACGCCGTCAAAGGTAGACATGGATGAAGGGAAGCGAAGCGAAGGGGAGGAGAAGATGGAGAGAAGAGAAGAGAAGCGAGAAGTAGACGGATGAAGTATAGTTACTCTATTGTATAGAGAAAGAAAGAAAGGGAATGCCTCAGGACGCCCCACGTGAGCTCCCCGATCGGGTAATCCAGCATCGCCAATCAGCGGCGCAACATCTACATTGGTCTCGTTCTGATTACTCCCTACGCACTATCTGTATGGCCACTAAGCTGGATTCCACGCTAAATCAATCGACGGCGGCTCCAGTGGGACGGCCAGCATGCCTTGTCCGAGCTGATTACCGACCGACCTTGACGGCCTCGACAAGTGGCCATGCAGCCGCCAACGCAGTCTCGTCCGGTCCGCTGCTTCGCTGGTCATTTGCCTCTGTTGGTCAGATGTCGTGGTTCTCTTATAAATTCTCCTCTCGTCTCATCCACATCATCGTTGCGTTCGTAATAGAATCAGAATTCGCTTCAGACTCCGAATCCTCCGACCCGTGCAGTGAATGAATTCCCACTATTGATTGATGGTCTCCCCTGATTTCCGCAAACAGACACAGCGTGGCATGGGCATCTCGCCTCTTTATTTTGGCTTTTCCCCTTGAAACGGCCTTTTGTTCCCCTGCCTAATTTTAGTTCCGATTTCAGCTGATCCCGATCCCCTTTCCGTCCCCATTCACTTTCGGCGATAAATTCAATAATAAATTCGATAATTCCCCTGTCTCTCCTCTCTCCGCTCAATTGTTTCCCCCCCTCGTCATCTCCCAATCATGCACAAACCATCGCTGGCTCAGATCGTGCATAGCGCGACCTTTCCTCGTCCTCGAACGAGTGATCCCGCCACCTTCTCCGCCCATATCACTCGCAACCTGGTGCCGGAAGTGCGCATCGAAACCTCCACGTTCTATGGCTCCCTCGATAGTATTGAGGCGCAGTACCCCGGTCTCGACTACTCCTATCCGCCCCATCGCATGAGATTGAGTCGCTTCCACTGGCATCGCCGTCTGTTCAAGGTCTTCGATGAACTGGGTTTGACGGAGAAGGAGATCGCTTCGCTCTGTCGTTGGGAAGGTACCAAGTCGGCGCGCGAACGCTACGAAAAGGAAGAGGGGATCAAGGTGCGCGACACCACCGCCGACTCTATCCGCCCGGCCACGCCCCCGCCTCTCCCTTCCATCGAGGTGCATTACGATAATGGGCCCGAGCGGGTCGAAAAACAACCCGTTTCAATCGAGACCTCCGAGCACGCCGTCGATTTGGACGTCGTGGTCGATGACCGTGGTGTGGACTGCGATCTGCCGCGTCCTGTCGAAGACGAGTTCAGCGACGACGAGATGGAGAGCTGTGGAGTGGCCCTGAACCATCGGCTGTTGGCTGCGAGTGCGGCACGCGAACAAGGCGCCAATGTGCCCCTGGATGAAGATTGGGAGCAATGGCTGAAGGAAGCCCGGGAACGGGGGAGCTATACGGACGTCCTGAATGCCATTCGCACCGGTCAACCACTGAACTTTCTCTACGATATGCCGGTGCCCCAGCTGAACCGGACCCGAACGCGACCACCTACTTCTTTTTCTCGGCCCTTTGCCCTTCCCGCGTCTAACATGATCTCCACTAACATTGCCATCCGACGTCCGCCCCATTCGCCGTCGGGGGCGGCGCGGTAGACCATCTGAGATGGTTGTTTTCCTCCATGCATGAATGGCGCTTAGCGGTGTTGCTTTTTCTTCTCTTTTCTTTCACGCATCTTTTCGACCGTATCTCTTTTATCTCGCCTGATAGATCCGCACCTGGATGTGTTGCTAATACCCTGTTGTTTCGGCGTTTGCTCGGTCTGCATAAAATAGCTATTAATGAGGGATCAAGGGAAAATGCAATACTCCGGAGTATTTCGATAATTAATCCCACGATATGAATCCGGATGGATTGAGTGTTCGTAATAAACAGCGATCGACGACCCGCACTAAGCTTACTTCTCCATCCGGCGAGCTCCCCGCGACTCCGACTCCACCCAACTTCAACTTCATCTTCAACTTCTCCTCACAACCACCACCACCACCACCGCGTCCATTGTGCAAGATGCGTTGCTACGCTCGATCAATTCACCCCTGAGACGAACTACACGTCTCAATCTGTCCTCCGCTTAAACACCATGATCAAAGCCATCTTCTACAGCAAATTCGATACGCAAGAGGGTTCGTCCACCGCAGCTCTACGCACTGCATCAAACTAACCCACTCTTAGGCCCCAAGGTCGTCCACCAAGTCCCCGATGGCGCTATCGTTCCGTCCGCGACCGCTCCCTCGCAGCCGCTCTTTCTCACTTTCTCCGACATCTCCTTTTTCGTGATCCCCCGACAGGAGCTCTGCGGAAACCTGATCCACGTGTGCACCAACGGCTACCGCATCCTGGGCTACCCGATCTGCATGAAATCCGTCCGCTACGATCGCAATGAGTTCATCTTCAACTTCTGCATCGTCCTCGCGGAGGAGGACGACTTCAGCACGTACAAGAGCGTCGTCCAGAAACTCGCCGATCTCATGCACGGCCTCGAGGAGCAGAGCGGGTTCTTGTCGCGCGACCACTCCAAGAGCGGCGAGGGCAAGGTCTACAGCTTGTGTGAGACGCTGATGGAAGATCTGAACAACTACTGCGAATGCATGATCCCGATAGGTACCGGTCCACCCGTCCCGATCCTGCGTCCATCACTAATTCCGCAGACGACTTGAACACCCTGAACATCAAGCTCTTCCCGATATACCCGTCGCCGCCGCACGTCCGGGCCTGGCATGTCCCCCTCTTCACCGTCCGCTACCAGACCTTCATGGACGAGAACTGGGACCTCACCATGCAGCGCGTACGACACCCCTCCACCCCCAATCCACCACAACTAACACGCCCAGATCGTCCCGCACATCAACGGCGTCAACAGCGTCCGCATCATCTCCATCCTCGCCGACACAGACTTCTCCCTGACCTGCCGCGCCGTCCGCCACCTCCTCTACTACGGCTGTCTGTTCCTGCTGGACATCTTCTCCTTCTCCGCCATCTACGCCCCCACCGCCCAGTTCAGCTCCTCCATCGCCTCCGACGAGGACATGCAGCGCGAATGTGCCCGCTACGTCAACACCCTCTTCGCCCCCACCACCACCGCTTCCCTTACCAACCCCCCGCGCTTCACCGACCCGGACGCCGTCTGGCCGCCCGTCGAAGACGCCCCCGCGCCAGGTGCAAGCGATCTCACCAGCTCCAGCCGCAGCCCGTCCCCCCTCCCCAGCTCCGTCGCGACAGACCCGCACCACCACGTCTCCCCCGACGCCGACGCCGCCCCGGCCGTCCCTGACGTCGTCGACGGCGTCGGCCTCGTCGAGCTGTACGCCAGCCTCAAACAGGGCCAGAACGTGAAACAGTGGTACATGCAGCACAGCCGGCAGCTCGCGCACATCGACATCCGCCGCTTCATCACCTTCGGCATCATCAAGGGCTTCCTGTACCGCGTGCACAAGTACGCCTATGCCACGGGGCTGCCCGCCCCGGTCATGAAGTCCTCGTCTTCTGGTCTCGTCGCCAGCGGCCCGTCCTCGCGCGGGCCCGGCACCGGCACGAATACCCCCTACGCCACGAGTGCCGGCGAAGACCCCGCGCCTATTGCGCAGGCGGCCAGCTCGGCGCACAGCGGGAGTCGGTCGGGGCTGCTGGGTGAGGAGGATGACGACGAGGATGAGGATTATGTCGATGACAAGACGCTGTCGAAGTATCTCGATGGACAGCATTGTTTTGATCAGATCTGCACGGAGCTGGAGATGAGCGAGAAGGAGCTGACCGCGCGCTTGAAGCGGTATCCCGGCGAGGTGCTCATTATACATCGTTGATATGCTTTAGTTAGATACCCAATATGCTTTACGTAGACCGTGTTTGTTTGTTTATCCTATCCTTCCAAAATCCATTGATTCGTTATGTGCGATGTACAACCCAACCAACGCCAGTGCCATGCGCCGCCCGCCATTCAATCATGCCAATAATCCAAAAGTACGCTAGGCAAGCAACTAGATTACTCCTGCTCCTCATCCCACCCCTCCAACTCCGACTTCTCAATCTCTGCCATCAACGACGGCTCAAACACGCTCTCGGTCCGACTAGGCACAGACGTTTTGCAGTCCTTGAACACCGGCCCAATACAGTCGCGCCAGCGCTTGCGCCGGTCCATCAGCGTGCGCGCCACGTCTCCAATAGCCGGCCGCCCGACGCCCGCAGCGCTGACGACGTGGCTGCCGCCGCCGGCGCCGCCGGGGCGGTGTTTCGCCTGGGAGCCCTTCTTGCTCTTGCCGAGGGTGCGGGTGCGCTTGAGATACGCCTGCTGCACCTGCGAGTCGAGGTCGTCGTGGATGGTCATGTACTCCTGGTAGGCCATGCGCTCGCGGGCGATGTCCAGCAGGCGCGCCTTGCGCGAGCTGTTCGTGATCATCTGCTTCTTCAGCTCGCTCTGCAGCAGGCGCAGGCGCTGCGCGATGTCGTCGTCGTAGTGCGCGTCGTAGTCGGGGTTGTCGTCTGGGCCGAGGAACCCCACGTGGCGGAGTTCGGCTTTGAGGCGCTCGTCCAGCTGTGCGTGGTCTAGCTTCGCGGCGGGGACTTTGAAGCCGTTCGGCGAGGCGTCTGGGAAGGAGGTCGCGGATGCGAGCGGTTTGTTAGCCGGGTTTGTGGAGGCGGGGTTCCCGTTGGGGTTGGTTTCTGTATTCGTGTCGCCGAGCGGGTTGTCGAGGTCCATGGCGTCGCCGTTGACGGAGGCGTCCCCGTTGGCGGCGGTGCCGTTCGTGTTGGTGGTTTCGTCAGGCGGGGCGCGGTGCTCGTAGCGGAGGAGGGAGTAGAGGCGGCTGACGAGAGGCCCGACGGAGACTTTGTCCGTTTCGGCGGTGTCGTCTGTGAGTTGGTCGATGTTTCCGCGGCCTTGGTTCAGGGGGAGACGGTCTTTGTCGCCGTTGGTTTGGTCTGAGCTCATGATGCCGTCTTCTTCGGCCCAGATCTCGCTGTAGTGTCTTTTGCCGCGACGCGGCATGATGAACGGTGTGGTTCGGTCGCCCTGTTTCTGTTAGATGGGGCTGATAGCATGGCGACAGACGGACGAACCTTTTCTTTGAGGAAAGCGATATCTTCCTCCGTCAGCGGACGCACGTATGGCTCGATGTAGCTGAGAAATGTGTTGGCATTGACCTGACTGGCAGGTTTGGAATTACTAAAGTCCCGGTCTGGCGGCGTGCCGGCCATCAGATGGCTGAGGTCGCTCCGCGGGAACCGGCTGACGCAGTAGATCTCCTTTTTCTCTTCATCGGTCATGTCTGGTGTGACGTCTCGGATGTGGTAGATGGTCGGGTCGTCGAATTTCAGAGGGTTAGGGCCAAATACTTGAACCTGGGGCACGGCCGGCGCAGGCTCAGGCTGGTGCGATTCTTCGCTATCGTCTGATCCCGGCGATTCGGCATTCTCTGCGTCGTCGCCTTTAACACGAGGCGATGTCAAACCTGGAGGCGACATTGGTGATTCCGAGATATTCTTCGACTTCTTCGACAACGGCGAAGCAGCTATACAAGTAAGCGCCTATCCCTTATCAGTACCAGAGCAGACAACTCACCACCTTCGATCTTCGTCTCGCCGCCATCCTGACGAGCGACATCATGCGCCCCATGCGTCAACGGCCGGTCCTCCTTGGAGCTACTGCCGCGTTCCTTCCGCTTCTTCAACTTGCCCCCCTTCAGCGCGCGCGAATCCTCCTCTTCATCGTCTGCCTCGCGCTTCATCTTCACTCGCTCGCCTTCCAGCGGCTCCGCATCATCGACCACCTCCTTGCGCTTTTGCGAGAGCTCTCGGATGCTTGCGTTGCAGGCATCCCCACGCGTCTCGGCCAGCTGACTAAGTGTCTTGAGGTGGTCCATCAGGGACTCGAGGGACTTGGAGTCGGGGATGGGGCCGACGCCGCCCATGCGATCGAGGATCTCGGCATACTGCACGGTCGCCGGGACGAACAGCCTCGAGGCGTCGTTGTCGAGGTAGCTGGCGGCCGAGGTTGCGGTCGGTGGGCCCGCGCTGAAACTTGAACTTGGCGTGGTGTTGCGGCTTCGTGAGGGGCGCACGTCGCGGCCCTTGCCTTTGCCTTTGTTTGCAGAGGGCATTTGGGTGATTTGCGCGTGAGGAGGGGATAAGTGAGTGGTGCGAGTTGACTCGTACGGAGTAACGGGTTGGTGGGCTGGGTTGTTCGATTAGCAGTCGGTCATGGCGGTCATGATCTGACTGGACGGTGGGGATCGCGCGACTGATCACGAGGAGGATGAAGAGTAGTGCGATTTCGGGCTTCGTAGCTAATGTATCACGGTCGTCGTTGCTGATGGTAAATGTCGTCGTCGCGATGAGCCTCATGGAGCGCTGAGAGGAGGACGCTCACGTGAGGAGATGATTAATCGGTCACGTGCGATAGCACAAAAGTCATCCAATAACAGAGTAGAGCTGCTACTAGAATCATTAACAATATGAAGTAATCTAAAGGTTGAGATAATGGCAATTCATTGAGAGGTTTGGTGGAGTTGTGGTCTCCTTCTAAAAGGAAGTACACTATGTTGGTCGTTCTATATCTGATAGCAGGCGGAAGATATGACTGCAATATGACAGATATCCTTGCTGATGCTCCCGTACAACCAACAGATTTGCCTTGTACTCTGTCTGGCATACAGGTTTATTTGCATGTCTAGAGTCCCACTCATATTCCTGCCCTTCATCCGTTATCATTCTATGCAGGATCATTTCATGCAGAAAGTCTTTGCTGCCGTTGAGGCGTTGGAGAGAAAAAGTTGGATATCCTGTTACTCCCCAAGGCAGCTCAACTGCAACTTTAATCGAGACATCATCCGGCATTCTGTCAAGAGCTGCCCAGTTATAGGAGTCCCAGCCACTTCCTTCCCATCGGATTAATCGGCCCGTGTAGTGGCGTATCGCAGTCCAGCGATCCAGGCCGCATCGCTGTCGGTTCTGACACTCCGCTAAGACGGCCATGATATCGCCCATAAGAAGATAGCGTGTCATAGATACAATAAGATAGGTCCTTGGCTCTGTATCAGTTTGAGGGTTTCCAGCAAAGGCCACAGGACTTCTTACATTGTCTGATCATCGGAATAGTCGCTGTAGCATTCCACCAGCATCCGCTGGCAGGGAGGCTGCGTGGCCAGCATAGTCGTCCATGATCCAGATTCATCGTAGATCTGTTCCTCCAAACTGAAATCTCCCTTATCCTGAAGCTGGCCTACCCAGTCCGCGTTCGTTGATGTATCTTTAGATACTGAGACGCCTATTCGGTTGAAAGCAGGGTTTAATTTCCATATTTCACCACGTATAGGGACTGGCTGCATTTGAGCGTCATTGGCAATTTCGGTTTGATACCAGCAGGCCTTCTGGAGGGCCGGGGATGTTTGGATAACATCTCTCCAGGTACGACAAACGCGCTGGCCCCGGATCATTTCCAGATGATCGTCTAGGTGTAGGAGGACCCGCTCGGCGAGCTCATAGATGCCGAATGTTTTCTCGGTTGGTGGTGACATTTTCAGCGCTTGTGTGTGAAGTATCTGGCGCCTACGTGTTGGGAGGATGCCTCTGATTTAGCGTGGAGGTTCTAGTGCGTACAAAGAAAACAGTTGGCAAATATCGTTGTATGAGAAAGTTCTAGGCGGGGTCAGCCAGAGGTAGGGCGGGCTAGGTACTTTGCCCGGGCGCAGATAGCGACTATATCAGGGCTATGGTAGCTCAATTTAGCGGCGAGCACGGGCGTTAACAAACCTGGAACAATGTGTCATGTCGAGTCTTTGCTGAAACAGCAGGAAAAGATAGCAAACCCTATTATAGCACTCCTTCAGAGTTTTTGCGCATGGGTTTCGCACATCTATCGCCCAGCGGACCTCTACGCGGAATGTCTTATGCAGAGGGACTGCCGTTTTCTTGAACGAGCTACTGAAAGAATCCGCATTCCATCTCCACAAGCCACTATGCTACAGTAAGCTGAAACATGCATAGGAATAACCTCTTACTGCTGGTAAGACAGAAGGAATCACCAATCTACAATCAAAACGAGCCATTAACAGCAGTAAATCTAGTTAGCAAATAACCTTGGTGCGACTCTGTCTTCGCTTAGACATCCAGACAAGGTACTAGAAACAATCAGAGCATGAATGCAAGCGAATGATCACATGAGAAAGAGCCCTAATGCCCCAAATGCAGCTAGCCAGCCGGATACGCTAACCACCGCCAGTTGCTGTGCGGCACTCATCGCTTTCCGGGCAGTCGGCCGGCGGGAAAATAGGGATAGGGATAAGCGACACCATATACGTAGGTAACTACGAGTCAGCTAAGGCTTCCTTTATGTGAGCTCTACCGGTCTAGTTGGCGACTACGCTCATTCTGTCAGGGAAAGAGATCCTAGGTTCGGAGAAGATTGATCTACCGGGAACGGGGTATCATTGAATGACTTCTTGTGGATAGTAAAGAAGCCCAACCATAGATAGTGAATAATGCTGGCAGCTACGTACTACCTGTAGTGCGTCTTCCAGCTGTCCAACTCGATTATTTCAAGTGGCACTCCAGTCCGAGCACCTAGCTCCCGGAGCCGGTCCCTCATGCTAGGGGACCATTCATTCATATCCGTGTCTATCCAGCTTAGCAGCAGAGTAATGCCGCGAAGACGCGGTGTGCATGCTTCCCAGTTCTCCAGCCATGATTGAATCAAGTCCACAATAGCGTAATCTTGCCAATCCCATAGTGGCCAATGTGGCTGCTTATCATCATCATTTTGTAGCGCCAGGTCATCGGTAATAATGAGGAATTCGATATTCTTAGGAATAACATCCGGCAATCGCTTTGTCATGTCTTGAACAAAGCCCACCAGGAATGCTCATGGGATTTGGAGGTTTCGAATCATTTCAAAGTTGATCATCGAATGTAGCGAGCCCTCCGTCTTTACGGCAGGGCGGAAAGCATCCCCGCCGCAGGGGTCACAGTCACAGTCAGCGAAGATGGTCAAATCCGTCAAAGTATCTCGAACAGTTGAAAGCGCAGCAGCAATCTGGGAAGATCAATGATCGGCGTTGTAAACTGATCTTCAACCCCATAATCAAAATACCACTCCCAGCGGAGGGTTCTAAGCTTTTTGGTGACTGCGAGGAGTTCCCGGAGATATCCTTCCCGGACATGGGTTAGGTGAAGCGAGACCAGTTTGGCAGGATCGGGTAAACGCGAAATAGACCACCTGAATTCGTCCGGGTTCTGGATCGAGGCTGACATGCGTTGGACGTTAGGTAGGTAGAAGAACGGCAGGACATCCGCTGTATTTTTGATTTTTCTATCCCAAGCTTCGTCCCTACCTTGAGGGACAAGGAAAGACACGTCTTGGAGACGCCCGAAGTTGGGCAGCCCATAATCTTCGCAGATAGCTGATTGGAGGACCATACCGATCAGCACAGTCCGTCGAGTGAAATCCCCGGAAAGGTAGAGATATCTCAAATTGCTGAGCTGTGCTAATAGGAGAGCAACAAGCGCATCTATAGTACCATCGCGCAATTCCTGTATCCAACGCTTACTATATGGCAGTCCCATGCGCTGGATGAATGCGATCGGTTTGTCCAGTTCATCATTAGGGATCGGAATTTGAGGGATTGTCCATCGAAACCCCGTACGGTCGATCCGGTAGGTGTAGCCGTCCAAGCGGACGTTTGTGATATAGCCAGCCAGCTGAGGCCTGGATAGGAGAGTCCGCAGGAGTTGCGTGATCGGGGGAGGAGAATCAGGGCGGTCCTTTTGCCAAGTCCATTGGATTTTCGAGTAGAGGAACGGCTCAGCGATGGCGCGGATATCCTGATTGACCAGACAGAGGGTACGGTGTTCCGTGACTGAAAGCATCTTCAGCACCATGTGCAAGATATCAGCCGGGCATCTGATCAAACTGGATTCCCCTTGCCGTTTCTACTCATATTAGCAACGATCTTGGAGTATTGTGGCATACACATACAGGTCCCATTGCCAGTAACAGCCAGGATATCGACGAATTGTTGTAAGCTGGGAAGCGATAAATAGGAAGCCTGAAACACGAGGGAAATGGCTATATCGTTCGGTTACCAGCGAAGTATCCAAGGTCGATGAAGAGCAGCCAGTGTTGATTAATAGAAGGGATTTTGGGGGCGACGTTAGTAGAGAAGAGGGTTACATCGCCTCGGAATTCCCATTAGCATGGCAATGCCTTGTCAAGATCAAGCTCGACCTAGTCCTTCTTGCATAAGCGAGATTAGTCGTAATTGGTCTGATTTCCACCATTTTCTTTGACTTCTCTTACTGGGGGAGAGTCCGTGACTCATCGCTTAGTTTTTCCAGTTTAGTAGACATATGAGGTGTCAATAGGTTGGGAACTACATACAATGCGCTCTGGTGGGATTTTATACTCGACATTTATATGAACTCACCAACCATCCTCGTGAACTGACAATCCGAAGATTTGTAAAATGGAAGCCTATGATGCATTGTCTCGTGCCTTTTTGATGCGTACTATGCTGGTGATCTGGTAAAGACTACGGCAGCCATCGCCAGCGGACGACTAACCGTCGAGGACCTTAACGAGGGGCTCTGTCTCGCGACACACATGGCGCACCTTGATATCGTGGCCGCACTCTTTGGCGCCAGGGCTAGTGTGTCGACACAGACCATAGCGTCCCTCCCAGGAAAAGACCTACAGCAGGATCCTAGCGTTGTTCGCCACTATCTTGACCATGGGTTTGATCCCAACGCGACTGTTTCTAGCGGCGAGTTTCTCCTACCGTACGTGCGTCGGTCTTGCTACTAGCTAACTAGTCACTCATACTTGATGACTGGCCGACTAACGCCCAGTAACTGACAGCTTTTTTCTCAATCCGGCATGTGCCCCTGAGATGCTCTCGCAAGTACGACCATAAGACATGGAAACCAGAGTTTTCCGTTCGTTCAGCTGAACATATGCCAGTTCTGTATGAAAATGCACTTCACCGCTGCCAATGTAAGGTTGCAGTCTTTTAGCTCAAGCTCTTCACGCAAGCACCAACATCGTTCAGGAGCAACCTCGGAAACATTCTGATACGTCACCAAGCGAGTTGACTGGCAATGCTACGAACGAAGCTCGACGGTGCGCTTAAGCCACCCCTGTTCACAAATACATGCATGTTTTATTATACCTCCAGTCGAGAGACGGTAATCGTACTTCAAGATTATGCGGAATCTAAGTCGGTGAGGTGTTGATGAACTTGTGGCCCATCCACCTGAACTTGTGCTCGAAGGAGTGGAAGGTGACTTTGCTGAAAGTGAGCTAATTAGACTACAGACTAATGGTTCTATACTGATGATGTAGCTATTGCGAAGCATCCTCATATGAAAGGGTTACTGGTGTCGACGATGGTACATGGCTGGATTCACTGTAAGATAGCGAACTACACAGTCAGTATATTGGCACTGAGCAGTGAACGTCATGTCTATCTCATTTAAAAGAAGCCCACAAGAAGAATAGCTAGAATGAATTGCTCGTCCAGGGATTGCATCAAACTGCCTATAGCATTATTCAATTGCATATCATGTTCCAATACGACTAACTGGAGCAAACGCAAGTTCCCAAGTACAATCGATACCATCACTGCATCTGGGGAATATCCGGATGGTTTACATTCATTGCATGGCCACAGAGGCGTCCTTATGGGTCAGTTTATACATTTTATGATGAAGCACTCTTAAGGAAATTCCCGCAATATCTTCATTGAATAAATCATCCCCTTGCCTATCTGCAAGTCATACCAATGCTTCACCAAGCTCGGATCTTCACCCTATATCTCAAGTCATATAGTATCACCCTTGACCTGCCAGAATTCTTCCCCACTAATCGTCTCACAATTCGACCAAACCGGACAACATGGCGACAGACCATCTCACAGAAGTTCCTCTAACAGCAAACACATCATCTAGACTAAACCAATTGTCATAGGCTGTTCGCTCCGCTAGACACGAACGGTAACATGCTTGGTCTTCTAGAAGCTGAGTCCGTATAGGACCTTTGGCGGAGCCGTCTATCTCAACCCCAGAGGAGTATGCAGCACAATGAAAGATGGAGCGGGTTCCCTGCTGAAACAATTGTCATTCACCGTGGGAAGAAAATGGCAGGGTATGTTTCCTGCCTCATGGCCCAAGCTGCTAGTATCGTTTCAACGTCATACTTGATGGATGACACGTGTCCATGTACTTGGTGGCAGTCGCAGCGATGTGAGTAAATGACCCCATGCTTATTGAGCCTGCGTGACAGACGTGAACTTCCCTCAAGATAGCGGAGCAGAATTTACGAACGGGTTCTTAAATATTTGTTACAGATGAACTGACTTGGGACAGTGTACTAGCCTAGGCATCTACTTCGTCCTCAGCCTATACCCTACGTCTAAGGCAGCAGAACAGGATTACTCCAGCTGCAACTTAGTACATAATATGTCCTTTATTGCGAGAGATTTGAGTCACAGTGATACATCGAATACTTTCGTCAATCATCTATCGTGATGCTTATATCACACTGATGTATTTTGCCCCGGTGGGGGGAAGATCCGATTTTCTCTTAACCACCCTGACCATTTGCCGAAACACTGAAGCCGCTTGGTGATTAGCAAAACTATCATCTGATAATGAACATCGCTAATGTTCAGTATAGCAGATCCAAAAGAGGGATTTGTCTCTTTGGACTGGCCACTGCATATCGAGCAAGCCCTGAATTCTGTGCTCATCCAGGCTCGACGAAACACCCGTGAAGTTGGCACAACTAAGATACATGTCCAAAGCTGAAGTCATGACACAGGCTAGTTGTTGCGGAACTAGCCAATGTCAAACTGGAGTCGCTATGGTACTCTACAGAGGTACCACTCTTGATCTTTGATACTACGGCCATCGATCAGATGGCCACAATACAAAGGGACCGTTTAATTTGAGAGCAGATCATGTGTGATATTCATGCTGGTCTAGTCCATCTCTTACTGATTTACTGGCATTGAACTATGCCACTGCCAGCTGTCTGCGTTTGGTCTGATATGGCCAAAAGGAGCAGATATTAGTGCCTGCTATCCGGCCTAGCGATCAGCCATGGGTCCCTGTGAACATCACCACACAGTTATCCCAGAGGGGCATCACCTTGGAAATTCGGGTCTGTTGTTGTACCACGGTATCGCAACCCCGTGAACCTGGTATGGAACGTGTTGTGCAATGCACACTTCTCGAGGGAAGTCACCCAGGAGGAAGACACTCGCATGACATCCAAACATTTCCGCTGGAAACAGCTGGCGACTGCACACTTAGTACAATCCTGCCATACATCACACCGAGCAATACAAGATCTCTCTGAAGTTCGGGGACTTCAAGGCGTCCATGAGCACCAGGCATAACCTGCAGAGTCATCGGGGAGCCCAAAGTGCCGAGAAGAACGCACCACCGATCGAGACAAGACTCCGAATCAAACTGTGTTCCCAGTCCGTGTACCAGAGTAATCACCATTACGCGCATGCGATCGCCGCACTTGAGGACTCTACGTCCCTAGTAGTGGCCGGTGCTCATCCGCGGGACCCAGCACCTCCGCATACCAGCGCGACAGAATCCAAGCACGCATACCACCACGTCAACGCGTCGAAACCCAACACGCTTCAAATTCATATTCCGTATATTAATACCAGCACAGCCCACATAACCCGGCAGTCCAGGACCCGCCATCGACATCATATCTCGCCGCTCGCCAGGATCGGGAGGGGTATCGACAGGATCCGACTATCGATCCACTCCTTGCATACCGAATGTATCTCTGACACCATCCCTCCAGCCCCGTCGGACATTCCGCCACGCGCGCTCCCTCGATTATCATTGCAGCACCCGCCATGCGCGCGCCTTGCTGCACGTCCGTCCCGTACATTCTACATTTACATTACATTCTGTACGGGGTGCGTGCGTGCATCGCGCGCTCGTGTCGCCATGTGGAGATGTGTCTGGTTTTGGCGGGGTGGCTGGGTTCAGTTTTGGAGGGGCGAGTTTTGGTATCTACTTTGGTACTTGTATACTGGAATGGGATGTCATTCATATCAATAGTATTACTAGCATCACATAGCTCATACATACATGGATAATTTCTAGCCAAACCAAGATCACCAAGACAGAAGCAGAAGTAGAATCAAAATAACGCCAGTGCAATGCACAAGATATACCAATGAACGATCAGAGTCACCCTCTAGGGTATTATGGGTATAGATTTTATCAGTCGAGACCGGCTCAACGCAAAAAAGTCATTCTAGTGCGCCCGCATCCGCCCAGGCATGTAGGACCCCGCCGCCGACGCCAGAAACCGCGCCATGAACCCGGAGCTGCCGCTGTGGCCGACCATGCGCAGCTTCTTGGGCGGCTGGGCGGGGATCTCGTCGAGCGAGGTGGTCGAGGGCAGATGGACGTAGCCGGCACGGAGGGAGGGGCTGCGCGAGGCGGAGACAGAGACGGAGGCGTCGGCGTCGACGACGCGGACCTCCTCGTCGGTGATGCTAGCGATCGAGCTGGAGGTGCGCAGGCTGGCCGGGGTGCCGCGCGAGCTGGGGGCGACGCTGGAGGCGCGCGAGCAGAGCGAGGGGAGGGTCTCGGCGCGCGAGAGCGCGGGCACGTCCTGGATGGAGGGCGGGGAGACCGAGACGGAGGCACCGGCGCGCGAGGACGGACGCCGCCGCGGCGGGTACGGGCGATAACGATCGGAGTTGGTGCCGTCAGCGAGCGATGCAGGCGAGGCGCTGGTCGAGGAGAGCGAGGAAAGCGAGCTGGCCGAGCTGGGGCTTGGGGGCAGACGCGAGCGTCGGTGCACCGAGTTGGCGCGGTGGACGGCCTCGAGGCGGGCCTCGAGCTTCTGGCGACGCAGGCGACAGGCGAGCAGATCGGCGGAGGTGTGGAAGCGGCGCCATTCGCGGGACTGTTCCTGTTGCAGCTGCTGTTGTTTCTTCTCTTCCTGGAGCTGCAGGTGGCGGCGGATGGGAGCCAGGAATGGCTCAAGATGGCGGAAGAGGTCGTCCTCGGTGACGCGGGTGTCCCAGTCGAGCAGGAAGAGCAGCTGGCGCTCCATGAGGTTGACCTCGGGGAGGGAGAAGCAGAAGCCGTGGTATCCCTTGACGGCGGTGTAGCGGGCCCAGTGCTTATTCTTGGGACTGGAGTCGTTGAGGTTCTTGGCGGCGAGGATGAGCGAGGCGAGGAAGATGCGGTGGACGGTGCAGCGCATGCCCTTGGCGACGGGGGGGAGACGAGCGCGCAGTCGGGCCAGATAGACCAGCGAGGTCATGAGGGTTGGGACCTGGACCTGGGAGCGGGTGACAAGGGAGGCGATGAAGGTTTCGATGGAGGGAAGGGGAGGGAGTTGGGCGTCCACGGGGTCCATGGGGGGAGTAGTCGGCGGAGTCGGCTGTCCATGGCGAGATTCGTGGTGTTGATGTTGTTGTTGTTGATCATCGTGAGTACTGGTCACATGCGGTTCACAACGGATCACCCGCGAGGCTTGCATGCCCAGATGAGCGACCATCTCGCGGGTGACCGGCTGACGGACGAACTCATGAAGGGCTGCCCGGTTGAGACGGTGGAAATGATCGAGGGGGTCTTGCAGGTGGTCCATGGTGTGGGTGGAGTGGCAGTACCGTAGGGCCTAGAGGGTTGTGTGTTGAGGACGACACTAAGTAGGTGGGAGAAGAAGAGCAAAAAGAGCGAGAGACGGTAGAAAAGAGAAAGACGGTTGACCGGGAGCGAGGAATGGATGCGGTATGTTGGAATCCTGCCCAGCAGGAGGAATGTAGGTTGTCGAGTCAACTAGTGAGACAGTGGATGTCGTAGTGTATAGAGTTGTAGTGAGTGATAGTGGTGGTAGTTGTTGTTGTAGAGAGAGAGACTGAAGTACAGGAAAGAGTGAGATTAATAAATAAATAGAACAAACGATGCGAATGACCAGAGACCGACAGTCACAGAGCATCATGGCACCTATATACCTTTCTTCTCTTCTTATACTCTTGCTCCGTCCGTCTGCTGAACGGGTTAAGGGCTGGGATGCAAGGAAGGCGGTTGGACGCGAGCCTGCATTCCAACCATTTCGCCCGTTTCGTTGGCGCGCGAGTGCACACGCCAATCATCGGGCCAGTCCTGCTGCCGATCGTCGATCGTCTATTTCGGGCTTTTGATCGTATGTCGTGGACTCTGCGTGGATACAGCATGGATACTGGCGTGCGTCTGGGTGGGTGAATCCGTGCATACGCGCTGGCCACTCTGTTCCATCAGCCGCCCTAGAACAATAAATAGACCAGCGCTAATTCTCTAACTGAACTAATCCCCGACAGCCAGTAAATCCCGTAGGCTGTGGACTCGATGAAGCTAGAATGCCTACATACTCCCCTGAAACCCATCGAACCCATCGCGTTGCTGCCATAAAGCTCTGCCTAAGGTAGTTACATACTAGTAATCCCTCCATACTCCCCCCTTCGGGCTCTCTCCCTCCACCCCTCCAGGACTAGTACCTCGAAAACCCTCGAGGGGTCTAAACACCCTCGAGAAAACCCCTCGAGGGTTAAATCTCCTCGAGATCACGCCACAGACACCGAATACGCCGACGTTGTCAGGGTCGCGTCCGACCCCGAAAAAGGCTCCGTGCCCGCCTGCACGTCAACCAGGTACTGGCTTGTCGGCAGCCCCTGGTTACTCTGCAGGTACATGATGAACTCCTGCAGGTCCGCCGAGAAGCTCTCGGTCTGCGATGAGGCCACAAAGCTGTACACCTGCATCTGTCCGTTCATCCCCGAGTACAGATCCCAGCTGTGGCCCGCGACCGTGGGGCTCGCCACGGGCGATCCCGTCGACGAGATCGGCCCTGCACCGCCCAGCGCCGCCAGCCAGATCATGATCTCGTATTCGTTGTCGCCATCAGCCGTCGACGAGGTGAAGAGGTCATAGGCGACGTTGGCGATGATGTCGGACCCAGTGTATCTGCCCACATTAATCCCATATCCATTGATGTGTATACGTTTGGGGGGCCTACTTCCAACTCCACGAGGTCGGAATCGACCCCAGAGCGCTCAGCTGCTTCGGCGTAAACACATACGCCGCATTGGCATAGCTCTTGACCTGGCCGGCCCCGCCACTCCAGCTCCAGCTGGTGTGCCAGGCAATCGAGTCATTGCCGCTCGACGAATCCAGCCCCGTGCACTGCGACCCGCTGTCGGCGTTGCCCTGGCCCCAGAGGTTGTTGTACAAGATAAAGTTGCCCGTCGTGACCTGGCCCCATTGATCGCAGAAATCGGCGCGACGAGTGAGCGACTTGCCCGTGAGGACTTTGGCGTTGAGCGCCGCCGCCGAGGCGAGGGAGGCCAGCGAAAGGACAGAAAGTTTCATTTTGAAAGGGTATACAGATATGATATTATTAATGAACAGAAGATAAAGGAGCGAGTCGATGGTCCATTATGAATCTCCGCAAAGGACCTCCTACTTATACTCCGTACATCTGGTCGGCTCCGCCGGGCATGGCGTTTCGACCTGCGACAGGCTCCATCCACCAGAAACATCTCCGTCCCGTAGAAGGAAACTCGAATGTCGATGAAGTCGGCGGATGTGATGAATGGTGGATCAATTCAGGACCTTGTTCAAACTGAGACAATCATCCCGGCGAAGACAGCAGAAGAAGGATTAGTGGGTGAGCTTGACGGAGGATTGGTGGAGGATTTTGAGCCTGGCGATCATGAGGGGAAGATCGCTGCAGACATGATAATATTAATACTAGCATACGGCTAAACACTTTAATCGACTCAGTTCAATATCTAGATGCAACTTATAGTGCAAGTCGACGTAGAAGTAGAAGTAAGCGTGAGTATCGTAGATGTGTGTACATGTAGCCAAGACTGGCTCCGCGGCCCCCGAGGATCCATCTCCTTTTTATTCTCCCTCTTCACAACTACCTCACCCCTACACAACTACTCCTCTCCACCCATCATGCGCGCCGTCACCTTCCTCGTCACCCTGGTGGCCCTCCTCACCGGCTTCTACCGCTACTTCGACTCGCGTCTTGACCAATTCTACATCTTCGATCCCTCCCACCTCCACGATCTGTCGCAGCGCGCCATCGCCGCCCACGGCAACGACACGCGCGCCGTCGTCAACTACATCGTTTCGGAGCTGGAGGAAAAGACCCCGGGCACTCACATCAACCATGACGAGGAATGGGTGTTTAACAATGCCGGTGGTGCCATGGGCGCCATGTACATTATCCACGCCAGTGCGTCTCGTCCCTTCTTCCAACCTCCGCTCCGCTAACATGCCTAGGTATCACCGAATACCTGATCATCTTCGGTTCGCACCATCCCTCCCTCTCCGTCCCTCCCCTCTAACAACTGCAGGAACCGCCATCGGCACCGAAGGCCACACCGGCCGCCACACCGCCGACGACTACTTCAACATCCTCCAGGGCACCCAGCTCGCCTACGTGCCCGGCTCCTACGAACCCGAGGTTTACCCGCAGGGCAGCGTGCACCACCTCCGCCGCGGCGAGGTCAAGCAGTACAAGATGGACGCCTCGTGCTTTGCGCTGGAATACGCCCGCGGCTGGATTCCCCCCATGCTCTTCTTCGGCTACGCGGATACCTTCTCCAGCACCCTGGACTTCCCGACCCTGTGGGCGACGTCGCGCATCACCGGGCGTGAGATGATTTCCAACCTGCTCAAGGGGAAGATGTAATGATTGTGGGCAGTGTATTATATAGACGTTGTAATATCATACCTAGACGAATTTAATCATTTTCGGGTGTTTATTTTTTTTTCGCGCAACGGTGCAAACCACACAAACACCTGACTAAGCTATCAGACTTATCAGTCCTTTTGCATGAGGCATCCCACTCATCCCACTTCCTCCAGACGCCATACTCTCACATCTAACGCCATGCCTCCCTCCGTCTGTGCCCTCTGCAGCGCCCGCGCGGTGATCATCCGCCCCAAGAACCGCCAGAAACTCTGCCGCGACTGCTTCCTGCGCGTCTTCGAGACCGAAGTCCACGAGACCATCACCTCGACACAGCTCTTCCGCCGCGGCGAGCGGGTCGCCATCGGGGCCAGCGGCGGCAAAGACAGCACGGTGCTGGCCTCGGTGCTCAAGACGCTCAACGAGCGCTACGACTATGGCCTGGAACTCTGCCTGCTGTCCATCGACGAGGGCATCCGCGGGTACCGCGACGACAGCCTGGAGACGGTCAAGCGCAACGCGCAGCAGTACGACATGCCGCTGTGCATCGTCGGGTACGACGAGCTGTACGGCTGGACGATGGACCAGGTGGTCGCGCAGGTCGGCAAGAAGGGCAACTGCACGTACTGCGGGGTGTTCCGGCGGCAGGCGCTGGACCGCGGCGCCGCGCGCCTGGGCATCTCGCACGTCGTGACGGGCCACAACGCCGACGACGTCGCCGAGACCGTCATGATGAACCTGCTGCGCGGGGACCTGCCGCGGCTCGCGCGCGGCACCAGCATCGTCACTGACTCCGCCGCCTCGGATATCAAGCGCTCCAAGCCGCTCAAGTACGCCTACGAGAAGGAGATCGTCCTCTACGCCCACCACAAGCAGCTCGACTACTTTAGCACTGAGTGCATCTACTCGCCCGAGGCGTTCCGCGGCAGCGCCCGTACCCTCATCAAGGACCTCGAGAAGATCCGCCCCAGCTCGATTCTGGATATTGTGCGTAGTGGTGAGGAGATGGCCGAGCTGGTGCCCGCCGAGGTGAAGAAGAGTGCTGTGGTGGGCGCGGAGGAGTCGGTTGGTGGATGCGGCGGCGGTCAGAGCGGCCGCACGCGCGGTGGTGAGATGGCCGAGATGGAGAAGAAGCTGGCTGCCGATGCGGACGCCGCGTCGCGCGAGACAGAGGTCCGTCTGCCATTGAAGACGGGGCGCGCCGCGCTCCCGCCCAAGACCGTCCGCAAGCAGGTCATGGGCAAGTGCGTGCGCTGCGGGTATATCTCCAGCCAGAAGGTGTGCAAGGCGTGCACATTGCTGGAGGGGTTGAACCGTAACCGACCCAAGACGGCTATAGAGGTCGGTGCGGAGGACGAGGAGAGCAGCACTACCCTGCGGAGACAGATGGAACAGGTGCAGCTGGGGTGAGCTTATGATTTGGGTCAAGACAGAACCCTCAGACACCACTTCTACGCTTCACAGCAAGCAAGCCTCCCAGCCGACCGACAGGTCCGGAACCAGACAGCCAGCACCGGCGCCGCGCCGAGTCAAGTCAAGTCCAACGGACAAGCAGCATCACGGTCGCTTATGAGATACATAGATTCAAGACACATCTAATATACAAAAGAATCTCACTCCAAACTCCATGCAACGTTGGACCCCCTTCTACCTCGTAATCTCCCCAGTAATCCCCCCGTAACATCCAATAAATCACTCCTTCTCAACAGGCAAATCCCACCCCACCCTCCTCGCCGTCAACCGAATGCGCTCTTGTTCCGTCAACGTCGCGCCGGGGTTATACCGCTCGACGAGGGTGGTGTACATGCGCTGCGCGCGCGCATACTGCGCCAGCTGCTCGGCCTCCTGCAGCCGGCGATGTTGCTCGGCCTCGAGCGGCAGCGCCGACGCCGCGGCCGTTTCTTCCAGGGGCCGCCGGTAGAGCTCGCGGATGCGGGTGTGTAGCGGTGTTGGGGAGGCGAGGGTGCGGCGCGGGAGTTCGCGGAGGAGGGCGCGGTAGGTTGTTCTGATTTTTGGTGTCATTTTCTGGTCGCCCCTTTCGGATTTCAGGGGTGTGAGGGTTGTGGGTGGTGTATGCGATACAAATGGAGGAATGGTGGTTTGGTTGTTGAGTTGAGGCGGATGGGTGAGGGATGAATTCTATCGTTGGTGCCTGATGTCTCAGGCTCTACACTATGCCTAATCTGGATACTCTTCTGCCATGTTCCTACACACCGTATGTATTGGCTTCATATGTACATCCGATTATCATCATTCATCAGACATGTCGGTATCATTACGAGCGGAGCCAGCCAAACTTCTTGCGGCTGGAGTCCGCGCCCGTCGAGGGTTCCACCTGCATACTGCGGGCATACAGATCCTGTGAACGTTAGCAGCGTACAAAGACACGAGAAGAAAGAAAGGGCATACCTCATCATCCCCAGACAACTTCATGTCAAGCACCAACCGCGCCGCGTCCTCGTACCGGTGCATCTGCGGGTACGGCGTCTTCTGGCTGTGCTGGATGCCCAGCACGACCTCGCCCATGACCTCGAACTTGCGCCAGTTGATGCGGGCGCGCGAGTCGCCCACAAACGTCTTGTTGCCCTCCTCGGCCGACACGAGGTCGCGCCGGTGCAGCGGCAGGAACGGGATGCGTTCGGAGAACGAGTTGTCCCACGCCAGTCGGTACGCGAAATGGCTTTTCTGCGTGCCCATGAGGATGACCAGCCTCATGAAGTCTTTCTGCGTCTGCATCGGGACGAGTTCGCGGGTCTGTGATAGGCGGTGGACTGGTGTGCCGTTGATGCCGGCGATTACCGCCCCGAGGGAGTTGTAGTTGTTTAGGCGGCGGAGTTTCTGCGATGGGGTGTTAGTACGTAGCGGGTAAAAAGAGGGAGGGATGGGAGGGCACACCTGTGCGATGTTCATAAACTTCTCCATCGCTTTCGCGCGATGCTTGGGCTTGTCGCGGAAGAGGATCACGCTGGCGACGAAATACGCAAGATGGTTGAACTGCTTGATCATGCGGTTGACGTGCTTTAGACTCTCGATCTTGTCCTTGTCCGGCCCCGAGATGCTGACGTGCCGCACCAGATCCCGCGGCCGGAACGAGTTGAACATGATCCAGTCGATGCGCGTCAGCTCGCGCGCAAAGTCCTCGTCTGGCATCTCCATGAACTGCCGCCACTGCAACTTCGACAGTGGCCCGCGCGGCGTGAGCTCCAACATCTGCGCCTCGCGCTGCGCCGCCTCCAGACTGAGGCACGTGAAGGACTGGTTCAGCACCGTGCCCGGCCGGTCGGGCCCCAGCGACGGCCCATGTCTCGCGGTCGCTTCGGCCAGCCCTTCGCTGAGGTCCAGCGTGTTCATGTTATAGATCGGGTCTTCCTCTTCCTCGTCGCCGGCGTCGTCGCCGTTCGACACCCCCAAAAACAGAGAGGGCGAGCTCCGACCGGACGTGTCGAAAAACGTCTCCTGTCCATCAAACGCGTCCACGTCGCCGTCGCGGAACGCCCATCCCACATCGTCATCCTCGGCATGGGCCTCCAGGAAGGACCCCACTTCCTTGGCGGCGAACATGTAGAAGGGGCTCTGCTCCAGCGTGGACACAAAGTCCATGATCCGCTTCCGCGTCTTGGGGTACGCGAGGTCGCCGGGGTATTCCGACACCCATTGAGCCAGCACGTTCAGCAAGCGCAGTTGGTCGGCGATGCGCGTCAGCTGGTCAGTCGTGTCGCGCTCGTTCCGTTCGAAGCGGTTGATCAGCGCATTCAGCAGCGTCGCCGGCGCGGCGAATTTGCGGTACAGACAGAGGAAGATCGAGGCGAACTTCGCGTCCTGTTTCGACATCGGCTCCGCGACCAGCCGATCCACCAGCTCGTCAAACGTGAAGCCCGTCTCGTTCGACGACTCCTCGCTGGGCGCCTTGTCCTTGCTCTCCGGGCTCGACGGCGCGCTGCGGGCCCCATCCATTTCGTCGTCCATATCCAGAAAACTGTTGAAGGCGTCCGATCCGCCGCTATTCCTCCAGGCGGTATGCAGTCGATGCTGTCGGTTATGATCTTTGCTCGGCGAGGACTCGTTGGTCCCTGCCGACGGCCGTCGCGGGTTCAGCCGGGTCCCAGTAGGGGGAGTATGCGGTCGCACCGGATGCGAATTGCTCCGGGCATATCGTGACCCCTGGGAAGTCGACGCCAGGATTGGCGCGGAGGGCTGGTCGGTGGGAGAACGGTCGACCCCGTTCCCATCGACTCCTGAATCCAGGGGACCAGTAATTGGGCCGCCAGCGGCTCCTGGGAAGGCTGTGGGGTTTTCTGAGAGCGTACGCGTATGATAACCAGTCCGAGGCGAAGCAAAACCGTGCGAAGAATCCACTAGGCCTGAAGAAAATAGAAAACGGTTAGCATCGAGGCGCTCTACCCCAGCGGGATGCAGCAGCAGCAACGGAATTTATGTGGTCCAACCCTTTCCACCCTGACGATCGGCGGAGGAGGATGAGAGGATACGCGAACGCTAAATGACTAGCGCGAACGTGGTGGACCAACGCTACCAGATTGAGCGTTCACCGTATCGTTTGGTTTCCCGTTTGATCCTTCTTGTCTCCTCCACCGGGTTCTTGGCTTCTTACTCAAAAGGCCGATCACACGATCCATGCTGACACTATCCATGGGGAACTTCAACGAGACCACTTACCATATTTCCGCCCGATGACCGATCGCAGAACCATGGCGATACACAGCTTCTGCGACCGCGGCGAATCCGGAGACGTGCGATGGAACTCATAGTTCCCCAACGCCGGCTCACAAGGTCCATCAGCGCTCTGCACATCGCACTTGCTGCCGACCAAGATGAAGGGAAATGACGATTCGGTGAAGCTGTCTGTAGCGGGGTTAGCAACTGCGCATCCCATACAGCACCTGTGGTCCGGGGCGATGAGATGGGATAACCGACCTAAGAGTCCCGTGAGCTCCGAGAGACTTGCAGGCTGAGTGACATCGTGGATCACCAACGCTCCATCGACGGTGGGAGGCGACTCATGGCCAAATCGCGGCCATTCCACGGTGCCGTCGCTCGCGACGGAAATGTCCCGCGCCTCGATCTCCAACAACCGCACAATGTAGACACTGCCGTCCAGGGCCATTTTTTTCGTCGTCGATCGGGAGGATGGGGAATGCTTCATATCCAAAGCACTTCGAATGAAGGTCGTTTTGCCGGCCGTTTCGTGGCCGATCACCGCAATGGTGACATGGGGGAGGGGAGGCTTCGACGAGACCTAAACAAGATGCTGGGTCAGACAATCCACTGTACAATGCGAAGCAGCGATACAAACCAACCCGACAGGGATCATACCTCATCGGCCCGGGTGGACACCCCGTTCCCTCCCGGGGACGTCGGGGTTTCCTCTTCTTCAATCACAGGTCGTGCGGGCTTCACTCCGCCCTCGGTTGCCATTCTCGTAGAGTCCAGTCGATAGAGACCTCCCACGGGGGCGGAGAAAGTTCTTCCCTGCAGACCAGGCCGTTGCGGGGCCATGGCCGCCTGGGCCTTATCGCTGAAGGCCCTTTCTCGTCCGGGAGCTTGGGAGGTCATGGTGTAGAGCGAGTCCTGCAGACCCATTCACGGCGCGGTGGCGTCAGGAGCAGTCTGCAGAGTAGATTTCGAGCGAATGCGACAGCGCAAGATCCAATGGCTAGGTGAATAAGGGCAGCGCGCTCGACCGCTCATCCATTGTCGCTTGTTACGGGAAGAGAAGGAGTTGAATAGCTCTCAAAGGGAGGATGCAGAACGCAGAGGAATTGGATGCGCGTTCGATTTTCTCCCTTTTTCGTCCGAGCTCAGGATCGCCGAGGTTTTCTTTATTGTATCGGAACCCTCGTGCGCGAATCGGCCTGCGGCGACAGACCTTGACGTTAGTCAGACGGAACAAAAAAAAAAAATGGCCGCGGCAAGGAACGGTTCGCGGGGCGTACGAGAGAACAAACGGTCGAGACGTTGAACGACCTCGATGGCGGCAGGAATTAATATGAATTAATTAATCCGACTAATTTCGAGATCTGGAGGTGGTGGTCTGGGGGTAATGGAGAAGGTTGGTGCCGGCGGAGAGGAAAAAAAATGATCTCACGGGAGTGATCACTACCTAGGTAGCAAACTGCCTGACAGGCGAGGACAGATAGAATTGGATCAACGAAGATGACAGAACCCTTCTATAAGTATATCAGGTGGCCAGATGATTCAGATGAGCCGGCTCTGGTTCAAATATGTACGGAGTATGTCTGATGTTTGCGTGACAAGTGGAAGTGTACGGTACGGTATCTAGGTACTCTAGTCCATCATCTCCTCGCATACTTGGGAGGTACTACGATGTACTATCTGCGTGCGCCTCGGGATCTTCACGCCGCGTGGAGCGTCCTTCCCCAGAAACCCACGCAACAGGCTCCAGATCCCCATCCAAATCACATCGCCTCCCGACTCTCTCAACCAACTAAACCGGGGAACTCGTGCCTCGCAACCCCAGTGGTGGAACAGGCCCCGATCACGGGGCGAATCGCATCGACTCCTCCTCCGAAATGCCCAGGACTGGATACAAGACAGACGCAAGACGACACCAGCCAGTGCCTTTCCAAATCAGTAAAGGGGAATCACGACGGAGGGTTCCCCAATGGCTCCCACGGAACCGCCCAGGAGTGTGATGCCGTCGACTCATCGCAGCGACGGTCTATCGGTGATGGGCTGGAATGATACAGTAGTACCCAGGTACTCCGTACTAAAAACCTCGTGGCGGAGGAGGACCTCAGCTTGCCCCGCCATAGGCTCCATCGCGAGACATGGAAAGGCCGACCATCACCGGACAGTCGTAGTCCACAAGCTAACCATCAGTTCTGTCTTCGCTTACCGAGTGGTCGCTGGTAACGAGACCGAGGTAGGGACCGACGGGTGTCAACGGCGCCACTAGCGAGCACTAGGGTGATGCCACCGGACTGGAGACCTCTGCTACCTTGGAACGGCATGTATGCTTCCTTGTGATGACAATAGAGATAGCCTCCTACCACTATGGAGTAGGTACGTTACCTTGGTACTGGTAATGTGGTCCTCCGAAACGATCACCTTAGTGCGTATACGGCGTATACGGATACATTCCCATTACAGCGTTGTGCAGACTCTGGAGGCAAACAAATCCGTCCAGGCGAAGCCAAAGATTGGCCCCTCCACTGTGGCATCTCAAGGAATTGAATTGAACTGCCCATGTCTCGTCTCCAGCTGAATGACGGGTCACTTGGAGATGTGGACCTCAACCAGTCACGAATTCGCCATCCGCCTAGTCCTGCCACTCCACTAGCGTACCAAAGAAGCTGTCTGACGGCGCTCTCACAGGATTCACTTCAACAATAAGCGGCAATAAAATTCCTCCGTCGAGGTACTCCGTAGATACCTCTCGGCGAATTACCACGCGTGGTATAGACCAGCCGCCTCCCAGGTGGAAAACAGGGTTAGGCCAAAGTTTTCTATATTAGCAAACAAAGTCAAAAGTACGACTCTAATCTTCTATATCCTTCCACCGGCCAAATTCAGGCCGCGGCTACGAAATTGCAATGCGCACGGAGATAGATCCCTTCTTCGTCTGCACCACAATCAAGTCATGGTCATACGAAATATCTTCCACGGTAGTCTCGTGGAGCCGCGCGCGGGGAACAACGCGCAGCGCCATCAGAGCAGCCATAATATAAAGCTCACAATAGGCCAAACTAAAGGGAGCATTAGAACTGCTTCGACAGACTGGGCGCAATGTAACTTACTTCTCCCCGATACACGAGCGACTCCCCTTGCCGAAAGCGATCAAGGTCTTCTGGAGCTTATAGTTGGGCTGACCATCTACTAGCCACCGCTCGGGAAGGAAACGGTCCGGACTGGGGAAGAATTCCTCATCCCAGTGGTTGATCATAGACGTCATTCCGATGGGAGTGCCGCGAGGAATGATCCATTGAACACGGCCGTCTCGACTTTTGTAAACCAAGTCCTCCTCACGAGCGATCCGCGCTGATCTGTGCGACACGCCCGGCATCATGCGGAGGGATTCATGAATGACAGCCCACAGATAACTGCGCTTTTCAAGCTCGGTCCATTTGAGGCTCGCAGGGTCGAGACCCTGCAGATCGTCCATCAGACGCGCATATATCGAAGGCTGCGCAAGGAGATGGTACGTAATGACCGTCAATGTAGCCTGCATCAGTCAGCAACGGTCACCTGGATGGTCACAAACAGGCATGAACTGACGGCCGTGGTCTCGGTCCCCGCCAACAGAAAGTTGAACCCCTCGCCGGAAAGTCGGTACAAAGACTTCTCAGACTCGGGCAACAGGTCGGACTGGACCACCTCGGCGAAGACCCTCCCATTCCCGGGCTCGCGCAGCGCCTGTTCGATGTACCCGGGGATGATGACGTTCATCTGCCGCATGACAGCCCTGACGTCCTCGCCCATATAGTCCGCCAACATGGGAAGCAACTGCGCCATCTTCCTAGCAAGTGCATTGTGCCGCATCATGTAGGCACTCCGGAAGAACGACTTGACCCAGGTGGCAAAGTTGGGCTCCCACGCGTCCTGGGCGATGAAGCCCATCGGCTCGCCAAAGGCGTACTGCGATATCACGTCGGCCGTGAAGCAGTTGAAGGCCTCTTTCACGTCGAACGGCGCTTTGCCCGCAAAACCCAGCATCTTGTTCACGGTGAGCTGCGCAAACTCATGTACCTCCCCCTCGAGCTTCAGCGTCTGCTGGCGGGAGAAGAAGCGCGCCATAGCGCCCTTGCGCATGCGATGCACTTCGTGAGAGACGGTCGAAAACCCGGTCACGGACACCGGGCCCGCGCCTCCCGTGTTCAGTTGGTGTTGCCATTTGTCGCGGATGCGCCCTGGTCCGGCGTATATCTCGTCTGTGAAGGATGGGTCGGAGCAGTGAAGCTCGTCGGGGTTGATTCGAACTATTGGGCCTGTAATTCCTTCCAGTCAGCGACACTGTGAGCCCGTCCGGACCGGTTGAGTTACCATAACGCTCGTGCATCCGACGAATCTCATGCCCGTATCTTCCCACGCACCACCAGTCAAAGTATGCCTCATACAGATAACTCGCGGCCGCGATTTTGGGGCCGGGGAAGCGGGACAATGGGTGAAGAGGCGAGATGTTGTATAGGGCAATCAGGACACGATATCCCGCCCAAAGAGCAATGAGATAAAAAACCGTCAGGGCGGCCTTGAGGCCAACATTCATGTCAATCATGAAGTTCATGTTTGGCATTATAGGACCTTAACTCGGCGACCTCGCAAGTACGAGTTATGAGGCTGAGTAGAACAGTAGTTCCTTTTTCTCTTCTTCTGCTTCCCCCGTACGCTAGATAGTGCAGCTCACACACTATGACGTGGCTAGTGCGATGGCTAGCAGAATCTGAAGGCATACTAAATTAGCTTCAGAAAGATAGGAGCCATATTAAGCGACTTGGCATTGGCTACCCGTATGGACTTGCATCTGATTAACGCGAAGTAAGTAAGGTATGTCACATATGAACTAGTCGTGTTCGCAGTGTTCATAATTTAGTCCAGCCTAGAAGACCCTAGAGGGCCCAACATGGTACCGTCTAGTCCGCCGCAGTATGACCTGGCTCCAGACCATGATGAAGATTGTCGCTGAGCGAGTAAAGAACACTCACGACGACGGTAGTCCCATAGTCTCCTGGTTCACCAAAGCCATGAACCGCATAAACCCTTCAGCCGTCTTTCCCGTTTCCAATCCCTCTTCGCACCGTTCCCGTAATTTCCTGACCTTCCCTAGACCCCGGTTGAACCCCTTCTCGCGAGTGTACGGTCCCCAATTCCGATGCCCCCCTCGACCTCTACCAAATCCCCTCGTTCGCCCGCGATGACTCTGACTCTGCGTCTCCACCCATTCCTCCTCGAGAGTCGCCCTGTAGATATCGCGCAGTTGGTCGCGAAGGGAAGGGTTCTGCTCTAGCAGCTCTCGGAGCTGAGGCGAAGAGCCAAGCGCCGCTGGGCTGAGGTCATGGCGTGGTTGCTGTTGTGCACATTCGTCCGCTCCATGACCGTCGGTCTCATTTGGAGCTGGAGTGCTGCTCGTTTCGTCGGACGGTTTCGGTGGCTGCGGTTTGGGCGCACAGTAGATTTTATGGGACTGGGTGCATGCTAATGAGCAGCTGAGGGCGAATTAGTTTCTTGTCTGAGAGAATCCAGCTTTGCTGGGGCTTTAAACGCACCTCATCAGTCCGCAGGTGGGACATCGGTACTTGGACGGTTCGGAGGCGCAAACCTCGCAAGTGCCCGGCATTTTGTCGCTACCTCAGAAGCGATCGATCAGCCGTAGCTATTGGTTGGTTCGTCTAGGTCATAGTGGTGAATGGCTGGTGCCGTGAGAATAAATCTCGAGACAATGGTGTGTAAACGGTGCGCGCAATGGTCAACAGTGATCGGAGTCCGATGAAAAAGCTCCGCTCCGCTCCGCTCACGTGCCGTCCACACGACGGTGATCCTGCTGATAATTCGATACTCGTAATGTGGTTTAATACTTCGATTTCTTATGTTTTGGATCGTTTACAATGGGGTGAGAATATACAACACTCCAAACAGCATCGGATTTTGTTACGAGTCTTCCGACAAATGGAATGGCATCATATTGCAATGGGCGGCTCTCGTTCAAGTCATGTCGCCGACGAAATGTAATATGAAAATATTCTCACGACTGAGGATTGGGTCGCCTGGTACATGATGCGATTAAATAGCAAAATTTGCGCTCAGAATGGTTTGGAGAGTGCTGAGACGACTTCCGAATGTCGTCCATATACTATCGCCGACGAGTACAGTGACCAAATGGGCTCATGCCAGTGGCCCAAATCAGTTTGAGTACGGAGTAGATATTGTTTCTTCCTGGAATGTAGGTTCGGGTCCGCCCCATATTGCTCAGCTCAAAGATGAACGTTGCATGCCCGAGCTGCTGTAATCACTTGCTGTGGCCATACCAGTCACATATCCTCCTTGCAAATGCACTACGATATGCGATCTGTTACTATGCTGGAAGACAATATAGCGTATGAAGTGTTTAGATACCCTTGCTCTCGTCTCGTTTTCCTATACTGCTGAAAATCATGATGCGTCTCAGTACAAGGATCTTCATTGAGAGTATGAAGGATCGGGGTTTGGTGTTAATTTTGGTTTATTGACATCCGAATACTACCCTTTTAGTAAGGGCTTGTCCAATAATCCGCGTCAAAGAGCGAATACATAGACTACCCCAGGAAGAGAATGCCTATGAGACCTATTTCACTGTTTAAAAAATCAACCTTAATATAGACCTGCTTATATAGACCATATGCTGCTCAGCGGCTCTCCTACATGACTGATGCTCAGCATAAAGAGTCTGCTCACCGGTATGGAAACAACGACAGATAACTTTCAATATACTCATCATCTACATGAATCGCTTAAGATGCCTACCTCGGTAAGTACATGCAAGACTGACTCTGTTAAAACCCCCACGCCACGCGCCAAGCATAGCCAAGGCGTTGACGGTCCAATAAGACGTGTCTTTTCTACAAGGTGGCTTTGATTCATTTTATTTTCGGGATTAGAAATCCATCATCATGACTCTTCTATCCATGGTTTTTAAAGGCGTGGCAGTTCCGTCTTCTGGAGATAGCCAACTCCGAAATTGTCTCAGGAGAACATAGCTGGGCTGTCTTCCGGACCATCGTTGCAATGTCTCCAATCTCAATCTCCGACGACAATCCCTACCAGACTCTACTCACAGAGACCAACAACGATGTCGTAAGTATATCAAAGCCTCTTTGATGAGATGTGCGGATCCTCAACTCTCTCAGTCTCAGCTACAGACTCGCTACGAGGCTCATCGGGTGAACCGCAATGCCCAGCAGACCGCTAAGATCCTAGCGGACGACTTTCCAGGCTGGAACTTGGACGAGGTCCTCATGCGACTGGACGGTCCCTCAAAAGAAGAGGGATACGTGGACCCCCGTAATTGCCTCGTCATCTGGGCCAAACCTCCTCCTCAGATCCGGGAGCTGATCGGCTTCGTGCAAAGAGAATTGAAAGAGGTCGCACCGAGTGAGTCACCTGAAGGGAACCATCCAAAGACATGGCTAGTCGAGTAATGACTTACTTGAGGCCAGCGCTCTGGCTTATGCCATCGGAAAACCTCCACACAACAGTGCTAGAAATTGCCCATTCCTTGACAGAGGCGCAAATCGAAGACATGGTCAAGACTCTGCAGTCCTCCAAAGATATCTCCACGTCGCAAATTGCAGACTATACCTTTAGTCATCGGACTCGTCTTGTCAAGCCTATGGTCAGCTTTGACTCTGCCGCAATGGCATTGAGCTTCGTTCCAGCTGCTGGAGAGGGCTCAAACGAACGGGGCCCTGAGGGCGATAGCTATTCGTACCACCACATCCGTCGGGACGTGTTTGAGATGGTTCGGAAAGCGGGCATCCCAGTTGCTTCGCGGTACAGCGTCCCTTCGGCTCATCTGACCATTGCCCGGTTCATCACCCAGGATGGCTTCACTACGGGAGGAGCAGATGGCCAGGTGCAGGTGGATCACGCTCGGGTTAAAATGCTTATCGAGAAGATCGAAGACATCAACAAGAAGTTGCAGAGCGCGTACTGGCCTCGTGGAGATGGGCCCATCCCGGCAGGAGGAGAGTGGCTTGTGGGTGAAGAGAAGGGCCTCGTCATCCAAAAGGGTCGTCTATGGTATGGGCATGGCACGACAGTGCAGCTTGGTAAAGGATATTGAACAGGTCTTGTTCATAGAGGGTATAGAGTTAGAAAATAGACATTTCGATTGGAATAAGGTGCTTGTCCAATGCCAACATTGTCAAGGTTGGGGATGACCGTAGTAATAGCATAGATATTGCTTATCGGACGAGTGGCGCATGAAGACAAGCTACAGCTCATGCACTACTTGTCCGATGAGCAGTTCATGTTGTCTTGTGGTTGGCAAGTGCGGTGGTAAGGCTTTGCTTTGTTTCCAAAGCCGGGTGCGGTTCACTGCAGGCCGTTCTCCGGTACATTATGCTTATCATGTATTCAACCATAATATCGATCATGCAGTGTTCTCTAGGTGAAGGCCAAAGAACCTTCGTCGTTGTGATGTTAAACAACTCTGTCTGATTGGCCCCCGGGTTTGCCGCATTTGTCAGCAATCAAGTTTGCCGAAAGTCACGTGCTGTCATTGCGTCAATTGTCCCGGACACCGGAGATATGCATTTCAAACATCTTTTTTTCCCCTCTACAACAATCACCATCATACGTACACATCATGTCGGTCAGCTCAGCCTCCGCAACGATGTTCCGACGGGCGATGATCAGCACCAGACGGGCGATGCAGCCCGTCAACTGCCTCGAGTCCCGAACAGTGCAAACCGCCGTCTTCGGATCCTACAGAAGCATTCACCGTTCGGCTCGTCTGCCTGCCATCACAGCCTCAGAGACTCGCCGCCGGCCGACTCTGCGACCTAACCACATGTCCGCCGTGGCCCCCGTCAACGGGTCCTCGCCCACCAGCAAGCGCTCCATCTTCATCCAGACCGAGAACACCCCCAACCCAGATGTAAGTTTCCCGAAATGCGCCGCGGGCAGCCGGTACAGTGTACTAATCGGGTGATTCCCATGTCCAGGCACTGAAGTTCATCCCCAACCACCGCGTCCTGCCGGAAGACTTCCCCACGACGTTCCTGGAATACCTCTCGCCGCGCTCCACGCTCGCGCCGCCCCACCCGTCGCCGCTGGCGGCCAACCTCCTCAACGTGGAGGGCGTAACATCGGTGTTCTACGGGCCCGACTTCATCACCGTGACCAAGGCGAGCGACGCGAACTGGGCGCACATCAAGCCGGAGGTGTTCAGCCTAATCACGCAGGCGGTCACGTCGGGCGAGGCGCTCGTCAACACGGTCGCCAAGACCGGCGAGCATGCGCAGGAGGGCGGCGAGGAGGAGTCGCTCGGCTACAACGAGGAAGACGATGAGGTGGTCAGTATGATCAAGGAGCTGCTCGATACGCGCATCCGCCCGGCGATCCAGGAGGACGGTGGCGATATCGAGTTCCGCGGGTTTGAGAACGGCATCGTCATGCTCAAGTTGCGCGGTGCGTGCCGGACTTGCGATTCGAGCACTGTTACCCTGCGCAATGGTATTGAGTCCATGCTGATGCACTATGTAAGTCTGTTGCTGTTGTATTGGCGTCTTGAGGCGGGTTGGGCTAACGAGGTGAACAGATCGAAGAAGTTCAGGGTGTCGAACAGGTGATGGATGCGGAAGAGGAGATCTCGATGCACGAGTTTGCTAAGTTTGAGGAAAAGCTTCGCCAGCAGAAGGGAGCTCAGGCGACTGCTAGTGCGGGTCCGTTGGACAACCCTTGAGCTATGCTCTTCGCGTTCACGTCCGGTCTGGTCCGATCTGGTCTGATCTGTTTGGATATCGTATCTAATGAGTAGATAGAGGTCTTTGCGCCCAGTGTATTATACCAAATCAATTCTATGAGGTTCGTCTCCAATGGAATCTGTTCATCCCTGCATCACACAATGGCCTCGACGACATGGACCCGCCACGTGCGTCAGGTGTCAACGCCTAGACTGGAAGACACCACGCATATCGACAGTACAAGACGTCGACCTGCTACATAAGGTACTAGCGTCGGGCGGAGGACGGGAGGTGGAGAGAAGCCAAGGATGAACGATTGTTGTAGGCGGGGAAAGAGAGCTGTATTGCTGGATCGGGTACATCCTCGGCATGACACAGATAATCCACGAGGAGTTTACTTACCTGGTAGGTGGAATCGAAGATCAGGTGAGAACTCTCTGTTCGGAGATAGCCTGAAAAAGCCAATCTTTCGGCCGGACATTGTCATTATCCGTTCTATTGTTATTATTATTTTACTTTCATCTCTGCGGGAGCCAGGCTGGTCTGGACGCGGCCAGCTCCAATGGCCATCGGCTTAGAATCCGGGGTAAGGATCAAGATAGTAGTGGGTTGATCGATGGCATTGACCTTGGCTCCCCGCTGTCAGATGACTGGCTGGAATCGAGTCTCTTGGGCCGGCCATTGTGCAATTCATCCGAAGAGACTTCCCGCCATCCAATGGGTATCCGGCCACAGCCGGTAGAACAATGGATCTCTCTATTCCATCGCATCAGATGATAAGACCCAGAGATGGTTACCTACGTCACTGGTTTCCACGGGGGTCTGTTCCTGAATAAGTAACAGTTAGGTCTAAAGAATGGAAGAAACCGACATGTCCGGAGGCACAGATCCATGGTACTGTAGCTGGCCCCGTGGCCTCGGAGTCATGTTGGGGGGGGGAGGTTTGCTAGCTTGTTTCTCCCGGGACCCGCCTCCTTCGAATTATTTCGTCTTCGCTTATTACCCGTGAGCACAAGATACATGGTAAAAGATATGGGGCCTCGTGGAGAGAATGACTTTGATCGCTCGGGTCGATTCCAGATGGCGGGGTTGAGGTCGACCCGACCGGACGCGGAGGAGCTCTCTCCGCAATCCTCATTTGGTGGGAGTCGATCGTCTGTGGCAGAGGGGTTCTCATTGGGCATCGGTCGGGCTAGTACCTCTCCTACGGCTGTAGGTCATTTATTATTGTTATTAATATGGTTTTCTTTGGGCATTAGTGTCCCCCGCAATTTCGGATGCAGCTAGAGATGCAGTCGGTAGGGTTGTTGCTGGTGACAGTGAGTGACAGTAGTGAGAGTGAGGGGGTACCAGACTGTGCTCGTATTCAGCCGCAGAATATCACCAGTTGATGGAGAATAGGTACCTAGGTATGACTTGGGTAGTAGGCAGAGTTTGGATGGAGAGATCGTTCTCTTATACCCGGTCGGTTGGATCTGTTGAGAAGATATTCTCAACACTCAGGATAGGGTGACATTCAAGCGACAGGATGACGTGATAAGTCCACACGTGTGGAACGTCAGTTTCTGCACATGCTCCACTTGACGTCGGACTCTTTCCTTGTTCAATGTACATGTACATACTCCGTACATGGTGTATTCTGTACGGGGTTCTCTCTGCGGCAGGGATGGCACCCTGTCCGAAGTGGCGTCTAGCACGGTCGTCTCCTCTGCAGGAGATGACGGACACTGACTGCAATTGTCCTGGAAGAGTCTGTCGAATGAACCAGGATTGACCCGAAGGGAAGTCCGAGTTCCTGGGCAAAATGATTGCTACCTGAGGTATACCTCTAGGGAAATGGTTGGAACATCAGCTAGAGTTATATATATCTCCCAATGTTAAAACAAAAATACAAAATAGAATAATGAGATAAGAAAAAGACTATATATATACATTATCACTGATATTATGTCCAAAACGGACAAAGACGAACACTTAGGTAGGTAGGTATGTATTCAGGTACTGCCTGATGAACGTCGCATCCCCGAGCTGCAAATGCAATCCAACCATGCTGAGAGGAGGAGACGATGGCGCAGAGGCCAGTGAGACAGCGCGGAGGATCTTCGAAGTTTGGAGGGGGGAAGCGCTCCACTTAGGGCCCGACCCACTCCCAGGCGTTCCATCGATGGCCGACCTGGCAGTTCTTTCTGCCTGTCATACTACTCTGTCTGTATGGGATTCCCTCCATCACAACCGCATGCACCATTCGATCAGCCCATCCATATCATTCGACTTCCCTGCATTATACCTTGGGTATCTAGGTATGGACCAGGTATTTCCTCCCCTCCATTTCCGTAGTACATTAGACAAGAAGGCAAGAAACAATAGGTATTTCGTACTTCCTGGACGTTTATCCGAACGCCGCTTTGTTCATCGCACGGTCGCGCGACTTGTGCTCCAGACAACTTCATCGAATCTCGTTTACCCCGCCCCTCCATCCACCGTCTGATTGGCGTGGGATTCGAAAAGGGATCGAGGGGAGTTAAACCCGGTACGGACTGGTGTCCGGGCCCCCCAGCCAATGTCCGTTCAAGGAGACACTCTACAACGGACGGATGTAGCAGCCCATCCACCGGCGCCACTTCTTCTCCCAGTCTGGGCCCGTGGCTCTCAACTGCCTCTCCCCTTTTCTCCTCCATTTCGGGTGGGCTGAGGGAGCTACCGACGACGGTCAGGACGCTTAGCTTTGCATGATCCAACCTACCCTCCTCTCGCCCCCCTACCCTACCCTACCACTTAGTGACCTTACGACCGTCCTCCGTACAACCCCTTCTAAAAAATTACCATGTCTTTTCGCCTCTTCTAATAATCCTTGGTTAATATTTATTTTTTCTCCCTCAAAAATAATCTCTGGTCTTTTTTTTTTTATTTCCTCCCCCTCTCCACTTCCTTGGGGTTTCTTCCCATCTTATTCTGACTTTCGCCTCTTCCACTTCCGTCCTCTCTTTTCACTTCCTTTCTTTCTTCTGATCCACCTGCTCCCTTTCTTCCCCCTTTGACATCATCATTACCCTCCGTCATCGACTCGAATCCGCCTTCTTTTCTGTCCCTGGGTTCTCCTACGTTGAAAAAGAAATACCGTTGCAGAATCCCCGACCCGGGCCATCATCCAGCTGCGCCGCCGAGCTCCCCACTTCGACCGTCGCCCCCATAAAGGCTCGATCGTCTTGCTCCTCTGCAACCACCACCGCACCATACCACCTCCGACCTTCTATCCTCCTCGTCCGTCCGGGTCGCGAAAGTTTCGCGTGTGTTTCGCCTCTTTTTCTTCGGTCCTGCGCGCGTCTCCCTCAAGATGCGCTGCTCTTGAGGGATCTACTCATACTTATCGGAGCCAGATCGCCTTTCCCCAACGTCATCCGTCGATGGTCACACTACCATCATCTCCGACCCGCGCCTTCTGAGTTCCCCCTTTGGTACAGCGAAACCGACTCGAGTACATTCTAGAACCCATTTTTATCCCTTCTCGTGAACAAATTCGTGTCGGAAAGTCATATAATAAGTCATACTTTTTTTTTTCGCTTCGGAAAAAGAAACGGGAGAAAAAACGAACTGCAAAATCTACCTTCGGACAGACAGAGAATACATCGGCCTTTCCGAAGGACTTCTTAAAGAACGACCTGCAGCTTCTTGTCTACGGTTGTCGCAGAGCGCGTTTCTGCTCAATTCCTGGTGATTTAGACGAGAAGCCTGGTCGCTTCTTTCGCACGATTACATTTGTTCGATTACAACCTGGACGACGAATTCGGTCCAAAGACTGCTTTTGCTTGAGTTTGATAGATTTAAAAGTCGCCTTGTTTTTTTCTAGATTGGTGAGTTGTCCTGAAACCCTGCATCGTACGATCGCGAGTCGAATAGTCACTAACGGAATGCGCGAATAGACGCGATCACGAAATCCCATTGCCTCGTTTTCACAGAAATTGTTCGCCATATCGCACTGCTCTAACGGTTCCTGGCTTGATCCGAAATTGTACTCTACCAGGTATGTGTGATGTGTTGCCCGATGGAGGTTGTCTCTGCTGGTCTGGTCGCCGTTTGACACCTGCCGCTTCCCCGCAATTTCATTTCATCCCTCGGTTCCCCCAGCTTGCCCCTTGCGAACGCGAAACCGCGTACACCAGACTTCTGTCAATGTCCATATCCCTCCCCAGACTGCGCACATGGGAAATGTGAAATGCGCTAGGCTGTTTTCACTATCCCTACTTGACTTTATCAAGCCGTGAATTTCCAAGAAGTGGACAGTGATCACCGCGCAATCGCATGGCCGGGAATCCGTGAATACACGATCACATTAGATCAGGTCTGGAACGCCAAACCTGTCTGATATCGATCACTTCACATACTTCCAGTATTTCTGCCGCAGTGGTGGTCTTGCCTTGCTTCATTAATCTTTATTCCCTGCGGTCCTTCCCTATGATTTACCACACTCACCTAATTTTCTCCCTGATACTCATTGCTGACCCTTGTCTCCAAAGCCTATATCGTCCTTATCTGTCCCTGCTTAATAGATATTTGCCATCACTTCTGTGTTTATCGCGTCTCGTGTTTATCACAGGTGATTACCCACCTCACCTCACCCACCTTTCGCCTCTGTTGGGCGCGCATCTGATGAAGCCAACTAACTCAGTTTCAGCACTCAAATAGAATTCCATCTATATCTCAACTTCAGCTATCACTTCTGTCACCGAAGCTTCACCACTTCTACTAGCTCTGCGCTTCCGGACATACCCGACCTCGAAGAAACGTCATCATGTCCGCCCAAACGTCCAGATCGGCTCAGACGCCGAAGACTGCCACGACCCCACCCAGCAACGCTTCAGCTAGACTGGAAAGGTCTCATCCCGGTGTTCGCCGTTCCACTCCCGATTCAGAGGCTCTAGCGTCTTCCGACGATGACGGAGACCACACCCAGTTGCCTCCTGTATCTACCGCTGCACCGGTACCCAAGCCTGCCCGTCGAACTTCCTGGCTGAACGAAGTTCCCGCCAATCTCCCTCGCAAGGCGTCCTTGACGACAGCTGGTCCTCTGTCGACTGGGATCACAAATCCAACCAGCCCAGCCACCGACCAGTCTGGATGGCCTACCAACACGAGCCCTGGATTGACCAACTCGATGAACTGGCCGCATGTCGGAGGGAGCTCGTTCCCCTGGGGCACGGGGATCTGGAATACTGAGTCCCGGAAGGAACCTCCTCCCAGGCTCTCAGAGATCGTTCCCTCTCCCACCATGTCCAACCCCTCGACTGTGAGCAATCACTTCACTGATGAGTTGTTGAGTCCCACGACCCGTACCACCTCTGGTGAATCCGCTATCCCGTTCTCCATCCCTCTCCATCCCACGCCCAAGACATACCGTTCTCAGTCATACTCCGTGGGACAGTTAGACCCAGAGTTCTTGCCCGTCATGGCCAACAAGTCCGGAGCCGCATACTCGGGCGGTCGTTCCCGCAACGGCGGTCAGTTCTCTGCACTGCAGCATCGGTCTTCTCGTCCTAGCCTCCTGGGCGAGTTGGGCCACGACCCGGCTACTCTGGGCCGTGTGCGTGAAGATGACGATGATGACGGTGGAAGTCCCCACGGCTCGGACGGTAGCCTCAACAACTACGCTACGAACCAGGCCCGAACCATCGAACAGCTGTCGCGGGAGAATGCTCTTCTGCGCCAAGCCGCCGGCCACGTCGATGGTAGCTTCAGAGACCGCGCAATGTCCACCACGTCCGCGGCCAGTGGATATACAGTTGGTGCCGGTGCCGGCTTGCATAATTTGCATCGCATCCGTGGCAGTGTGCCAGAGGAAGCAGACCTGGCGGTAGAAGACCTCGATGAGGTGCGCGATATCCCTGGCTACAGTCACATCCATAGCAACACTCGGAGACGATTCTCGGAACATTCGGCCAATTTGGAGAAACAGTTCCCTCATCTTGCGTCATTGGATAATCGTGCCCTGGAGAATTTCAGGAAGGCTCATTGGCAAACTTCTCTCGGGTTTGGCGGCATCTCCGATATCCCGCAAAGCCGGCGCCATTCTTTTGCAGACATCCCGATCCGACACCCCTCCGTGTCGGGGGAATCGCAGGCTGCTGCTGTCGCGGCCGCGGCCGCACGCGCTGGAATGCCCGACCGAGAGGAATCCTTTGCGAGCATTGGCGAAGGACCTCTCACAAGTGCCCAAAGCCAGAATCGTGAGTATCAGCGTTTTCATATGGCTCCTCATTCCGAGGAACATGAACTGGAAACTGAGTATTTACGAGCTCGTCGGTTTGCAGAATCCTATTTTGCGCGCGATCAAGCTCTTCGTGCTCCCGAGGGCCCGTCTGCCGTCCCAACGTCTCTACACCAGGCTTACGCCATGCCGAACACCTACGGTCGTCATCAGCCAGGCCTAGCACATCCGCATCAGAACCAGCTCCTGTATATTGTGTCATTCAAGTGCCATCGGGCGGACGTGTTCTATATCCAGGAAGATACCGGTCTGCAGGTGAAGCCCGGTGACCTCGTCATTGTCGAAGCGGATCGCGGTACAGATCTAGGAACCATCAAACATGCCGACATCACTATGCAGGAAGCTCGGGAGCTGAAGCAGCACTACGCCGAAGAACATTACAAGTGGTTGATGATGTTTTCCAGACAGGGTCAGAATGCTGCTGCAAACGTCGTTGGTGCCCCTGGCAGCCTTGGTGGCCGCAGTGCCATTGGTGGCATGGGTCCTCACGGCCACGGCGTGCAAGACTCCGCGGCAGATATCAAGCCCAAATTGATCAAGAGACTGGCCCAGAACCATGAGATCCTCACTTTGCGTGACAAAGAAGGAAATGAGGCAAAGGCCAAGCGTGTTTGTCAGCAAAAGGTTGCAGAACACCGCCTCAACATGGAAATCCTCGACGCAGAGTTTCAAATGTAAGTGTCGACGCTTGCCAATAATGATCATACACTAATACGCATTTACAGGGACTGGAAGAAACTCACCTTCTACTATTTCGCGGATTCTTACATCAACTTTAACTCTCTGGTGACCGATCTCTTCAAGATTTACAAGACCCGAATTTGGATGTCCGCGATCAACCCCGCGTCGTTTGTTACGCCCCCGAGCGCTGGTCTACAGCACTCCAACACCCTATACAACCAGGAATCGCAAGCGGATCGGTCCCACCAGCATGATAATGCTCCATATAGTCACGCCCGAGACACCGCCGAGAGCGGAAGAGAGGCCGTCGGCAACCCTCTTGGCTTAGTGCGCAATACCTATCCCGACTCGTTTCAATCCTTCGGACAGGGTTCTCGCATGCCAGAATCAGGCCTCGGCGGACTTGCTTCGGCGGACCCATTCGCTCCGTATTCGCCCCACTCCTTTGGAGGGCTGGACTCGAGCTATGCCGACTATGCGACAAGCCCTGGCGGAAGCTCAGGTCCCCCGCGCATGCATCCTGGCCCTGGCGATTGGGTGAACCGTTTCCAGGGATTGTCGCTAGGCTCTTGAGATTGTGTACGATTCTGTGGCAATCTTTCGTTCATCTTGATTCCAGTTGCTCTGTTTCTGACCTCTCTGTCAGACCATCTGGATCCGTCTGTATTCGACGACCTTCTTTTGATCCTTGTACCCCCTCCCCCGCTATTCCCATATCTTGTCACTCCTTACGCCTCCCGTTGGCCTCTCGCTTTTATTTTGTACCACGCGTTTCCAAAGAGACTTAGAAAACATGTGCCACGAACGAACAAAGAGAGTTATGACCCGTCGTTAGCGCTGATACCTAATAGAATTTCACGGCGTGATGTCATGATTTGAAACCAGTTTGACATTGGGGCGATTGACATGGAGTCGATTCGTTGGAGCTGGTTTTGCATTTGTTGTGTTGATTTCCTTTTTGTTCTTGTCTAATTTGGCTGTTCTCTGTGATTACTGCTGTTGACCCGTCCCCAGATTACAGTGGTGACATTGGGTTAGTTCACATTGTCATGAAATTGTCATGGGGCAGAAAATGCTTACATAGTTACTGGGACAAATTTTGTTTTCTTTCGCACCGTTAGACCAATTCAAGAATGGGGTTGTTTGGTGGTTGACAGATCGATCCGATAGCTTCGAGACTTGTACTCCACAGAAGGCTGATGCCTTGTAGCCTGAGGGAATCTGGATTAGTCAGGCTCCAGAAAGGAAAGATAATAGACACCTCAGGCATTAATTTGGGGCCCACTCGTCAGGGTGCTGATTGGTGGACAGGAAGGCTCGCCTAAATCGCTAGCGTCCCACACACAACTCCTCCCGACCTCGTTCAAGACTTCTCTTCTCGAACTTTTCAGCAGCGACAACGACGACAATCGACGACCTGCCACGCCGACAAGGTATGTTCTCGTGCCTTTCCGTTCCATCGCGACTTCAACTTCAATCGACAATCGACTGTTAGCGACTTCACTCAATCGTTCAACGAAACTAATTTTGCATTTTCCGTCCAGATGGGTGCCCTCAAGTACGTGGAAGAAATCCAGAAGAAGAAGCAGTCCGACGTGATTCGCTTCCTGCTCCGTGTCCGTTGCTGGGAGGTGAGAATTCCCCCCCAATCTGCGATCATTTAACATCCCGCCGGGTGCTCGTGTGCTATGCCATAGGATCCCTTCTATTTCTTCCGAGAGAGGGAATACTGGGCGGCTTGAAACGATCCCTTTGAACGCCGGCGGATGTGGATGTGGCACACCGAAAAGACCTCTCCCACTGGGGGCTCGTGTGTCTTGCTATACACTCGTTGAACTTTGCTGAGAGTGCATCAATATAGCTCCGTCAGCTGAACGCTATCCACCGTGCTTCCCGTCCTTCTCGTCCCGACAAGGCTCGTCGTCTCGGCTACAAGGCCAAGCAGGGCTATGTTGTCTACCGTGCCCGTGTCCGCCGCGGTGGCCGCAAGCGCCCCGTCCCTAAGGGTGCCACCTACGGTACGTTCGATCCGACTCTGAGCAGGTGGGGGAAATTAGAGGCTAATGGGATGTGCAATAGGCAAGCCTACCAACATGGGTGTGAACCAGCTCAAGTACCAGCGTGCTCTCCGTGCCACCGCTGAGGAGCGTGTTGGTCGTCGTTGCGCCAACCTGCGTGTCCTGAACTCCTACTGGATCAACCAGGACTCCACCTACAAGTACTTTGAGGTGATCTGCGTTGACCCCCAGCACAAGGCCATCCGCCGCGATGCTCGCATCAACTGGATCTGCAACCCCGTCCACAAGGTATGTTTCTCGGACTCTTCAATATTAGGAATGGCAACTAACCCCCCTTTAGCACCGCGAGGCCCGTGGTCTCACCTCCACTGGCAAGAAGTCCCGTGGTATCAACAAGGGCCACCGCTACAACAACACCCGCTCTGGCCGTCGCCACACCTGGAAGCGCCAGAACACCCAGAGCTACTGGAGATACCGTTAAGGGTAGAGGGGTGGATCTACGAAGGTGCTTGTTGTGTTTGGAGTGGGGAAAAAATCTTTTCAAGGATGATGTGTTTATTTCGTCCCTGGCTCGGCTCTCTGGGATACTGCGGAGCGAGTCTAATGCAACAGATCTAACGGATCGCCTGTTAGCAAAAACCTTTTCCTTTGGATTCGTTTCGATGATTCCCCTAACGAAGTATGACGATTTTGTGTTCTTTTGGTTCAAGGGTTGCAGTGTAGGGTAGATGTAGCTGGCTGTAGCTCTTTGGACTGTAGTTGCATGTAGTCAAGAGCGTGTGGTAGTTAGATAAAATATATATTGGGGCAGTTCGTGATGTACGGAAAGATCGTCATGTGATGGCCGAAAATAGCAACTGAGGAATGTCCAACAGTGCCAAGAGAAGAAACAGCTTCCTTCGTCGCTATCACCCCTCATTCATTCTTCCTGTCATTCTTTCTTTCATCCTAAGCTCTCTCGTTTTTCTCCCAATTCTTCGGTCTACCTAGATACCGCCGTCCTATCCTCATACACACACATCCCTGGCCGACCAGCTGTACATCAGTGGATCTCGGACCCATCCTGGTGACTAGGCGGTTGCGTGTGCTTCCGTTGCTTCCCCAGGAACCAACCCCTTCTCGCCGATTGAACCTCGTTCTTCCCCTTCTTCCATAATCGCCAGTCAATGTCCCTACGGTGCATGGACGATCTTCAATTGTCAGACGATACCCGACCCTACCAGTTCAACCACCGTTCGATATTATCCGCCCCGGATCGACTGATCTACTTCAACCTGAACCGAACTTAGTTCTCCTGCTCACTCTTCAGACCCGGCACCGCCAAATGCGCCCATATGCCGTCGCGTTCCGCACGTAACCCGTCTTCGCCAGGTGCCAATCCCACGACGCCCTTCATCCCGGTTCCAAACGAGAGGACTGCGCCGTCCTTGCTTCCTCAAGATGCCCAGCTTTTGCCATCCATGAACCCAGACTTGCCCACCTCGCCGCCGCGGCGTCGCGGTCATTCGCGCTCGATCAGTCATCCCTTCCCGTCGCCATTCCCTGGCATTGGGAAAAGACGCCCCAGGAAGCAGGACTTTCTGGATTCCGACGATGACGATGACGACGACGAGAACGTGACGTATCTGCCCGAGCTTGCGACAAGCCCTCGCAAGGGCTCGACACGTGCGCCAGGTGAGGAATTGACAACGGGGAAATGCATGACGTGCAATTCTACGGTGCGATGGCCGCGGAATCTTCACGTTTTTCGGTGTACGGAGTGTTTGACGGTCAATGATTTGGAGCCGTACCGGGAGTCTAATGACTCGTCCACCCATGGACATTCACATCCTACCAAAAACCCGCCAGTTGCTAGGAAAGGTATGGTTCTGTTTTAGAGATTCTATTGCTCTATTCTCTGACTAATGGTGTAGCTGTCCCTCTGTCTGTTGAACGAACCAAAGCCATCATTGACGGATGCGTTGCGAGCTACCTCCACCAACTGTTGGATATGCCTGGACCGCGAGCGTTCCCTAGCGGAAATGCTCCCAGTAAGCCAACAGGTGCTGGACAGGATGAAAATAGTTCGCAGTCCCTCAGCCAGTCATCTTCCGGGCACCTGTCAGAACCTCGACCGAAGGTTGACCCACGAAATCGAAGTACGTCTGCATCTAGTCGACCGGGAAAGCTGGATGGAATGAATGGAATGCCCCACTATCTGAAGCCACAAGGGACATCGTCATCGTACCCCTCGGAATCACGGGAATCGCAAATGCAGAGCCGTGATGTCCAGAACGCTCCCAGGAGGGATCGCTCGCCTCGGCCGGCGGCGCGGTCGTACGATCCTGAGACGAAAGAATTGCCAAGGCACCCGTACGTTTTTAAAGCACTCGAGGAGTATATAATTTCCTGTTTTAAGGGATGTGACTGCCTTAATCGCTCCTTTACTACGGGGCAACACATTCCGCGTGCCGCCAGTGAGAGCAGCCCCTCAAAGCCTAAACCAGACCCAAGCTCTGCCCCTGCGCCGATTCTCTCGCCATTTGAGCCCGACGAAAAGACTTTGTTGATTGGGGACTTGGCGGAGAACTCTTCTTGGTGGATGCATGATGACGAACAGCAGGGTAGTCAGAGTCATGCTCATCCGAAAGAAAAGAGCTCGCATTCATCCAGGCTTGTCAACTCGCGGAGTCCCCGAATCAATTGGACCGAACTCGCCCGTTGGTACCAACTCATTCTGACAGCTGGGCTGTCGTGGGTTGAAAGATGGTCTGAGATGAAGCCTGCAGATATTCGCGGGGAGGAGGATTATGTGCGAAGCCGGAGGTGGGATGCTACCGATCTGAGCATGATCGAGAAGGAGTTTGTAGAATCGCGCCTGCATCTGCAGCGAACCCTCCTCAAGGCTACGGAAAACCTATTGAAACGGCCCCGGCGGCCTTTGAAGAAACCAGGGGACATCCGATTTCTTTTGATCCTATTGGCGAATCCCATGATTTACTCTTCCAGCACATCGCTCCCCTTCAACACGCCTACCTATCCGCCCCGGGACGAGAGAAGGCCTTCTCACCCAAAGGACCCCAATCCGAAACGCGCACCTGATCCAAAGCCTCCGTCTCGACATCGCAGTGGTGGTCCAGGGCACCATTCGGGGCTGGTCAAGCGAATACTGGGTCTATTGGCCCACCTTCCCAATGATTGTCACCACTACCTGGTCTCTTGGTTCTCACGGTTCTCCGTGGGACAGTTTGAGAAGATCGTCGACTTGGTTGGGAGCTTCGTAACGTACCGCCTATCTCGTCAACACGGACGCAAACGCAGCCAGACAGCGAAAAACGACAACAGCCTGGTCCCTAGCTTTTCCAGCGCGGCCGGCAACACCCCTGCGGAGCTGCATGCTGCCATTAATGGACGCAGCTCGAACAAGCCGACGACCGATGAGCGTGATCAACCTGTGGTGTACAGTGACGACTGGCAAATTCGCGCCGCGGCTCGGGTGATGTCCTTGCTTTTTACCGCAAACAACACGATCGTGTCGCGGAAGCCGGATAGTGCTCTCAGTGCAGAAGCGGCCTCTGCCACCAACTACCAGGCTCAGCGACGAGGGCACCTTCTTCCCATCAGCACGTTTTACAATACACTACTAGATTATTCGGACCTCGTGGCCGATTTTGAAGCCTGGGAATCTCGAACCGCGAAGTTCTCCTTTTGTCAATACCCGTTCTTCCTCAGCATCTGGGCTAAGATCCGTATTATGGAGCATGATGCGCGCCGCCAGATGGAAGTCAAGGCTCGTGAAGCATTCTTCAACAGCATCCTCAGTCGGAAAGCCGTCAGTCAGTATCTCGTTCTCAAAGTTCGACGTGACTGTCTCGTTGAAGATAGCCTGCGGGGTGTGAGTGAAGTTGTTGGGTCCAGCCAGGAGGAGATTAAGAAGGGACTCCGAATCGAGTTTGTGGGTGAAGAGGGCATTGACGCGGGAGGCCTTCGTAAGGAATGGTTCCTGCTTCTCGTCCGGGAAGTTTTTGACCCGGAGCATGGTATGTTTCAAGCAGTTTCGGTCAAGGATTTGGTTGACTAACGTTGGCAGGACTCTTTATATACGACGAGGATTCGCAATTCTGCTACTTCAACCCGTACTGCTTTGAGTCATCGGAACAGTTCTTCTTGGTGGGAGTCCTCCTGGGGTTGGCTATCTACAACTCTACGATTCTGGACATTGCGTTGCCGCCGTTTGCGTTTAAGAAGCTCCTAGCAGCGGCTCCACCGACGACCGGACCGCAGCCGTCTACCACGCGGTCCCCGTTCAAGTGTAGTCTGGACGATCTGGCGGAGTACCGACCCGCTTTGGCCAAAGGCCTTCGAGCCTTGCTGGAGTTTGAAGGGGACGTTGCAGAAACATTCTGTTATGATTTTGTGGCCCACGTCGATCGTTACGGGGAGGTGTTGCCGGTTCCGCTTTGCCCTGGGGGCGAGAAGCGACCCGTGACGAACGCCAATCGACGAGAGTTTGTGGATCTCTACGTTCATTACCTACTGGACACGGCGGTGACGCGACAATTCGAGCCGTTCAAACGCGGGTTCTTTACGGTGTGCGGAGGCAATGCGCTGTCGCTGTTCCGACCCGAGGAGATCGAGCTTCTGGTCCGTGGATCGGATGAGGCGCTTGATGTGGCCTCGCTGCGGGCCGTGGCGACGTATGATAATTGGGGCGTCGCTCGGCCAGAGACGGTGCCGGTGGTGCGGTGGTTCTGGGATTTCTTCCAACACACTCGGCCGCAGGCGCAGCGGAAGATTTTGTCGTTTATCACGGGAAGTGATCGGATTCCGGCGATGGGGGCGACAAGCCTGACGATCCGGGTGGCGTGTTTGGGGGAGGATGCGTCGCGGTTCCCGACCGCGCGGACATGTTTCAACATGTTGGGGCTATACCGGTACGAGACGCGGGAGCAATTGGAGCGGAAGTTGTGGGCGGCGGTGGCGAACAGCGAAGGGTTTGGATTGAAGTAGGCTGGAGTCTGGAGGCATTGTATATTCAGCTGGCTGTTTCCCCTGGAGGGCTGATTTGACCGGCTCGATGAATTGTGATGTTTGACGACCGTATTGGTATTGAGAGTATTATTTTCCCATTGATGGATGGGATAATATGATTACCTTTTTCTTCCCATTCTTTTTTCGCCCTTTATCTCCCACGCAGGCACCATCTGGGAGTGATCCATACTCCGTAGTTTGTAATCGGGCGCATGGGCTGGGCTAGACCACTGCAGGCGGATCTGGAGGGACGATCCATCAATTGATGCAAGTGTGGGGGATGATACCTGTAAGCATCCGCGGAGGTGTGTACGGAGTAGGTGTCTAGACCAGAAGGATAGAGAGCGCGGAGAAAGAAGCCGCAGGATGGGATGTATCACTTTGTGTATCTGGGGGAGGTCATGGGACCAGGGCGATAGTAGTCCGCTGTCGGAGAGTGGAGCAGCGGTGAGTTAGTTTTACTTTGTTTTGCGGGTGTCGCGGTGTGTGCGTGTCCGGTTCGATCCGAGAACCATGGATGGATATGCTGATAGAGATCAGGTACGAGGACGGAAGAGATCTGCTGGTAGATGCACAGAGTATGTACTGTAAAGTGTACTCCGTAGGGTATGTATAGGTGTAGGTGTAGGTGTATAGTAGGTGATTCTGGTCGGTTCGATGGAGTCGGGATCCCGGTTTCTTTCTGGTGCCTGGTGGAGCGGGTCGTTAGCTGGAGTGGGGGATGAAGTCATCGGTGAGCATCTGTATAGAGGGAAGCTGTATACACTCTGTGCATGGTAGACAGCAGACAGCAGAACGAAGACCAAATGGACTCACCGATCTCAATCAGAAGGAAGAAAAGAAAAGACACCGTCATGAGGGGTACCAGAGGCCGCTCAATCAGGCATAGTGGTTGGGTACGGGGCTGCGACTTGAGGGTGGGAGGGAGCGTCATACGGAGGGAGGTACCGCGCAAGTACCCTGCCTGACCTGGCCTCATCTGACTTTTGATGCCCCTCTCTTTTCTATAAATCCCTCTTCTATTCTTTTCTCTCTCCGGTTTCCCCTTCTCTTCCTCTCTTCCTCTTCTTCAATTCATTCAATCATTCCACTCCCCTTCTTCTGACTTACCTCCATTACCTCCGTCCTACTCCGTGCATCAATCTCTCACCATGGGTTCCACTCTCCCTCAGACCATGAAGGCTCTCAGATATGAGAAGCCCGAATCCCACGCCGTCGTCGACGTTCCGCTGCCCACCCTGCGCGACAATGATGTCTTGGTATGTTGTCTGAAGAACATCTGCCCACAGGCCAACTAACCCCACCAGATCAAGGTCAAGGCTTGCGGTGTCTGCGGCACTGACCTCCACATTCACGAGGGTGAATTCATCGCCAAGGTAAGACAAGATAAACTTCGTTCCTGACCCCGCTCATGCCAATGCTGACCTGTTAGTTCCCGCTGGTGCCTGGTAGGTCGTCGACGTAGACAACCCAACCCCATTGACCAACATTGACCCACATCGATAGGCCACGAAACGGTCGGTGTCGTTGCGGCCGTCGGACCCAAAGTCAAGGGGTTCGAGGTCGGCGAGCGCGTCGTTGCCGACAACTCGGAGCTCTGCGGCGAGTGCTTCTACTGCCGTCGCGGCGACGAGCTCTTCTGCGAGCACTTTGAGGCACACGGCGTCACCATGAACGGCGGCTTTGCCGAGTACTGCGCCTATCCCGGTATGTGCACCCGACCCTGTCAGTATACCTGCCGCTGACCAGTCCAGCTGGCCGGGTCTTCAAGATCAAGAACCTCTCCGACGTCGACGCCACGCTGCTGGAGCCGGCCTCCTGCGCGGCCCACGGCCTCGACAAGATCGCCCCGAAGATGGGCTCGTCAGTGCTGCTGTTCGGTGCCGGCCCGACGGGTCTGATCCTGGCGCAGCTGCTCCGCATGAACGGCGGCTGCCGCGTGGTCGTGGCGGCGCCCGAGGGCCTGAAGATGGACCTGGCCAAGTCGCTCGACGCGGGCGACGAGTACATTGCGCTGTCCCGGCAGGACCCGGCCGCGCAGTTCGAGAAGCTCAAGAAGGACAACCCGTACGGGTTTGACATCGTCGTCGAGGCGACGGGTAGTGTGAAGATCCTCGAGGACGCCATCAACTATGTGCGCCGCGGCGGTAAGCTCGTCGTGTACGGCGTGTACTCCAACAGCGCGCGGGTGTCGTGGCCGCCCAGCAAGATCTTTGGGGACGAGATCACCATCATCGGTAGCTTCTCCGAGACGTACAAGTTCCCGGCCGCGATTGACTATCTGGATTCGGGTAAGGTGAAGGTCAAGGGGATTGTCAACAAGGTGTTCAAGATCGATCAGTGGGAGGAGTGTTTGGAGTCGATGCGCAACAAGAGCGCCATCAAGGCAGCGATTACTTTTGACTAGACGGCACAGAGTACTTATACGGTGACCTGGAGGACGGGGACCTTGTGGACATCACAATTACATCATAGTACCCTAGCGATAGCAATGTGATAGAAACTTAGAAAAGTACTAGCCCACAAGGTACTGTAGCCCTACTGTACGGAGTACCTAGTTGGTGAGCGGTGACGGCTTAGCTAAAGCTATCGATAAGATCACCGCCGCCTTCACTTCCACCCCTTCACAATTCCCACACCCCTCCACCCTCACACACATACACACAATGGTAAAACCCCTAACCTTCAAGGGCGACAAGCCCAAAAAACGCAAACACCGCGCCGACCCCTACCCGGACCCGTCCTCGCGCCCCAAACCCTCCACGTCCACCACCACGACGGACACCGTCTCCGCCTCCGCCTCGGCGAACGACGACGACAACGCAGAAGACACCAGCTGGGTCTCCGCCGACACGCCCAGCGACCTCGCCGGCCCGGTACTACTCGTGCTCTCCACCGACCCGCCGACCTGCATCGCGACCGACGCAAACGGCACCGTCTTCGCCAGCGCCATCGAGAACCTCGTCGACGGCGACGCCGCGACGGCCGAGCCGCACGACGTGCGCCAGGTGTGGGTTGCGACGCGGGTTGCGGGGACGGAGGCGGTGAGTTTCAAGGGACATCATGGGAAGTGCGTATACCTCTTCCAGTTTTCTCTTTGGGAGTTTTGTATTTTGTTTCTGTGGTGAAGGCATGGTATGCTAATGGACGATGGTGGTGGTAGATATCTAAGCTGCGACAGTCACGGCATCCCGCACGCCACCGCCGCGGCGATCTCCACGCATGAATCCTTCGCCGTGATACCGGGCGAGATCCCGCGCACGTTCGCGCTGCAGACGGGCGGCGGCGAGCGCGAGCAGTTCCTGTGCGCGCGGGAGAAAGCCTCGAGCAAGACGGCCAGCGGGAGCGCGGTCGAGATCCGCGGCGACGCGGCGAGCGTGGGGTTCGAGACGACGGTGCGGGTGCGCATGCAGGCGCGGTTCAAGCCGCGGCTGCGGGCGCGCAAGGAGACGGCGGCGCGGGAGAAGATCGGGCGGCGCGAGTTGGAGGAGATCGTTGGAAGACGGTTGGGGGATGAGGAGGTGAGGCGGTTGCGGCGGGCGCGGAAGGAAGGGGATTTCCATGAGGTGGTGCTGGATGTGAGGGTTAAGGGGAAGCATGATAAGTTTGCTTGATAGTGTAATGTATACTACGTGTGGTGTGGTTGGTGGAATGAGTATATGCTAGTATTGTCTATAGGGTATCTATCGTGAGCGGATATATTGCTCGCTGTGCTCGCAGCTGTGCTCGCGGCTATTGCAATGACCGCCGCAACATGTGGTCCCGATGGACCATTGTGTTTGTCACCGGCATGCTCCAGCACCCTGGCGGGAGCACGCATTTCTTGCACAGCGGACACAGACTGCTGTTTTGCGTGAGCGACATGTCGATACACTCGACGTGGTAGATG